GCGAGTTATTTTATGGGCTTTCGCTTCTGTTTTAGCATCTTTCAAAGCACTAAATGTGATGTCAGCTACTTTCTTTATGCTTTTATAGTTAAGTAAACAGATTTTTGTTATGAATAAAATAATGTAAAAAAAATTTGGCTTCATACAAAATATTCAATGCAAGAACAGCTTACAACGCATGTTTTAAAGTTACCTCTTTTAAACGGAGTCTAAATGTTGCTGCAGGCTGTAGCCTGTCACTGTGGGACAAAGAGTCGCTCATCATGATCACATTTATCCTTACAGTTTTATAAAGATAAACCTGATGTTGGAGAAATGTAAAAAAGATGCTGATCGTTATATTCTGTAGGCAACCGCATCTCACATTGCACCAGACGGTCTCTCTCTACCTTCATCCTCTCTGCCCTCATCCTCATGCAAATTTGTTCTCCAATCTTCATCAGTGTCACTTTCTAGCACCAGGTACTTCTGGAGCACGTCGCGTTCGTCCGTCCAAAGTCTAATTTGTCTTCACTACGCTCATCCGAAGGTGTGATTTCCACCCCCTTCCACCTTGAGTGGGTGTTAAATGAGGCTTAATTGACTCTGCTAAAGAAGGAAAATGGGATCTGAGCGAATAGTTCACTTTAAAAGATATTTTAAAATCTGCCGCATGGGCTTCCCTTTATTGCAACCTTCATTCAGATTCAGTCTTCCTTTCTTTTTTCTCTTTCTGAGTACTAGCAGCTTTGAAGCATAATGTCAAGTCGTTTTTAACATATTCAAGAAGTGGGTGGAAGTGTAAACCTTTTAAATTCCCCCTCCTTATCCATTTATCCTCATAATGCCTGCATAACCTGACATACAGTTAGGGCCAGAAATATTTGGACAGTGACACAAGTTTTGTTATTTTAGCTGTTGACAAAAATATGTTCAGAAATACAATTTATATATAGTATGGGCTGAAAGTGCACACTCCCAGCTGCAATATGAGAGTTTCCACATCCAAATCGGAGAAAGGGTTTAGGAATCATAGCTCTGTAATGCAGAGCCTCCTCTTTTTCAAGGGACCAAAAGTAATTGGGACAATGGACTCTAAAGGCTGCAAGTAACTCAAAAGGCCTTTCCCTCGTTAACCTGTAATCAAGTAAGTAGTTAAAAGGTCTGGGGTTGTTTCCAGGTGTGTGGTTTTGCATTTGGAAGCTGTTGCTGTGACCAGACAACATGCGGTCAAAGGAGCTCTCAATTGAGGTGAAGCAGAACATCCTGAGGCTGAAAAAAAGGAAAAAATCCATCAGAGAGATAGCAGACATGCTTGGAGTAGCAAAATCAACAGTCGGGTACATTCTGAGGAAAAAGGAATTGACTGGTGAGCTTGGGAACTCAAAAAGGCCTGGGCGTCCACGGACAACAGTGGTGGATGATCGCCGCATACTTTCTTTGGTGAAGAAGAACCCGTTCACAACATCAACTGAGGTCCAGAACACTCTCAGAGAAGTAGGTGTATCTGTCTCTAAGTCAACAGTAAAGAGAAGACTCCATGAAAGCAATACAAAGGGTTCACATGTAGATGCAAACCATTCATCAATTCCAAAAATAGACAGGCCAGAGTTAAATTTGTCCAAAAACACCTCAAGAAGCCAGCCCAGTTCTGGAAAAGTATTCTATGGGCAGATGAGACAAAGGTCAACCTGTACCAGAATGAGAAGAAAAAAGTTTGGAGAAGAAAGGGAACGGCACATGATCCAAGGCACACCACATCCTCTGTAAAACATGGTGGAGGCAACGTGATGGCATGGGCATGCATGGCTTTCAATGGCACTGGGTCACTTGTGTTTATTGATGACATAACAGCAGACAAGAGTAGCCGGATGAATTCTGAAGTGTACCGGGATATACTGTCAGCCCAGATTCAGCCAAATGCTGCAAAGTTGATCGGACGGCGCTTCACAGTACAGATGGATAATGACCCCAAGCATACAGCCAAAGCTACCCAGGAGTTCATGAGAGCAAAAAGGTGGAATATTCTGCAATGGCCAAGTCAATCACCAGATCTTAACCCAATTGAGCATGCATTTCACTTGCTCAAATCCAGACTTCAGACGGAAAGACCCACTAACAAGCAAGACCTGAAGGCTGCGGCTGTAAAGGCCTGGCAAAGCATTAAGAAGGAGGAAACCCAGCGTTGGTGATGTCCATGGGTTCCAAACTTAAGGCAGTGATTGCCTCCAAAGGATTCACAACAAAATATTGAGAAAAAACTTTTTTGTTTGGGTTATGTTTATATGTCCAATTACTTTTGAGCTCCTAAAATGTGGATTTGTAAACAAATGTGTACAATTCCTACATTTTCTATCAGATATTTTTGTTCAACCCTTTAAATTAACGTTACAATCTGCACTTGAATTCTGTTGTAGCGGTTTCATTTCAAATCCAATGCGGTGGCATGCAGAGCCCAACTCACAAATATTGTGTTACTGTCCAAATATTTCTGGCCCTAACTGTATATCATGAGTCCAAGTTTGAGTTCTCCTTGAATTTGGAATAAGATATTTAACAGTCAATTAAAGCTCTAATTTTATAAAATATGTTGTCTATATACTTGTTAAAATTGCCCCTATGTCCTGAGAGTATGAGACAAAAAAACATGTGGAAAAAAATCAAGCTCTTCTGCTTCTGTTCGGTGCTTCATCTGCAATGTGTAGAAATGCACAGCTCTGTCAGAAACGACCGATCAGATCCAGAATCAGGGACTTAACGCTGCCAATCATCCTCGTGTTCTGCCGCAACAAGCTTTTTGAGTACATTCGTAATGTTGACGTGGCCTAAAATGAAAACGAGTTTGACATCCCTGGTACAACGGGATACTTTTATTACATACTCAAAACAAGACATAACCAAAATCTCTCTGTCACTGTGATTTAACATAATGAATAACAATGTTCCCAGTTGTTAATGTATCAAAAACAAAAGTCTGCTCACCTGTTTATATGAAACAGGAATTATGTTCTGAGAGACAAATAGGGGGTTTCAAAATAAATAACGTTCTGAATATACTGTAAGTGCTTCCCAAGGTTCTTCCTCCTCTTTTGTTAAGGCGTTGTGTTGTTCAGAGGGACGCGTTGTGGAGACATGACAGGCAAAGAACGGGCCGAATAGAAAGATTCAAGGCTTCTCAACACTTCAGCAAAGCACTTTCCTGGATGTGAAGGTTGTCTTGACTTCAGATCAGAATGGCTTTGAACAAAAGCCTCTTACGTTTCTATTGGCTCTCCTTTTCAGACGTGTCCAGCGAGAACCGCCTGCAGAAGATCTTAGTGAAAAGAAATGGTAACACTCGGACGCCACCGATTTTCTTATTTATCATTTATTAAACTGACCCACATTAGAAAAAAAAATCCTGTTAATGTGTTCCCTCTTTCACTAATTTATGTAGCGGCAGACGCTGAACATGCTCCATCCAAGTCTTCGGTTGCCATCCCTTCGTCTAAGGCCCAAGAGTTCCTGGCCAAGCTGAGCAGAACAAAGAGGAACGTCTGGGATCGCAGCAGGCCAGACGTCCAGCAGTGGATCATGCAGTTTATGCAAATGGGATTTGATGAACAAGTAAGTTTTCTATCATTTACTTTTTTGTTGTTGTTGTTGAAAAATTGATGAGTTCTTGGTGTAGCTACCAGACATGAGCACTTTCCTCAAGAATACAGAAAATAAAGTGTCCTTAATGAGCAGAGATGGAAAACTGTTCTCACCTCTACGGTTTAAAGTTGATACGACTCCCAGACTGACTGTACAATCAAGAGTTCACAGCGAGGTCAAGAAGATTCAGTCCCTTCGGATGAAATTATGGTTGATTTAGCTTTTACCAATGTGACTTGTGCTTTATCAAATAGGCTTCAAGTGAGACATTGTTTTTCTTTGAAACTTTTCTGTTTTTTACCTTAATGGCATTTAAGACGTTAAAGAATTTAAAAAAGCTCGAATTAGAGAAACTGAAACTTAAAGCACGTAGTAAATAAAACACAGAGTAAACATCGGCCTCTTCTAAATGATCCTCTGCAGAAAGCACCTCTACCTACACATATACTGGAATAAATAATAAATACAGATGAAAAGCTGACCGTAGGAAAACATGTTTCTCACACAGAAGTTTAAAGCTACTCACTGATCCAGACTCGGCCGTCTTTCAGGTCACTGACCACCATGATTTCACCAGAGACGGTGAGGAACAGAGAGCAGAGATAAGAGCAGGGAGCGAGAGAGGCAGACCACTCAGAATAACCCCCCTGCTGCGACCGTTTCCAACAGCCGACAGCACGTTACAGGCAGCCACAGCAGCGTTTCACCAACACTCACTGAACATTACACCTCCTGCATATGCCATCGGTTGTTGCTTCCTTAAAAGGCCAAAGCTGTCAAACGATTGGCCTTTTCAAAGTTTGTCTTTCATAAGGGTTTATTTATTTATTTTTGTTCATCACGGTGCTGCCTCCTGCCAGTCTCAGCGGACGTCTTATCAGTTGCTGGTTTGTCTGTTGTTGAGTTCACCGAGCCTGATGCGTCTGCGGCGTCTCTTTCTCGCCAGAGGCTGGAGGCCGACCTGCAGTACTGGATGGACCACGCCCGCTCCCACGACCAGGGTCGGCAGCATCACTACGATGAAAACGCCCCCATTGGGCCAAGGTCTTCTTACAGGCATGGGGCAAATGTCAACTACGACTACTATTAACACCGCCCACACACGCGCCGATCTTCCCAGCTGTGATAGAAGCTAAAGCAAAATGATGGCTTTAATGCCTGCCAACATTTTCACAGCAGTCCTGCCAACTTATTTTGATTGCATCCGTCAGTAAAGCTCTGCAAGTGTTTCTGTAGTCCTACAATAAATGAAAGTTTGGCTTCAAGCACAACTTTTAATAGAAATAAAGACAAGGTTTGTACTGTCTTTTGTCTCCTGATTTTATTATTTTACTCGCGTCACCTTCATTTGAAGTTAATTAATTGTAATCAAATTCAAAAGGGAGAGATGATAAAAGCAGACATTGGCACTTTTGTCTGAGTGAGAAGGTTTCAAGTCCTATTGGAGCCTCCATAGAGATTAAGAGTAAAAAATGAAGTGCTCTAAAATGACTTTGGATGTGGCCAAATCCAGACCTGATTTCTCCAATCACCACCAGATGGAGCAACTTCAGAAGTGGATTTTTTTTTTCTTCCACGCAACAATTTCTTTAGTATATTTGGTCACTGTAAAGAGAGTCATCTCTTCCATGACTGGTAGATTATAATCCACCCATGATGCTTTTGTATTAAATAAATAAAAAATAGTGTTTCATTTTTCTAAATAAAAACAAGATCGAGGCTTTAATTCGGTAAAAATAAAAGTTTCCTCTTCATATTAAACACATTAGATCAGCAAAGTTTTAAGACTGACACATTTCGATTCGATAGTTCTAGGTTGTTTTTTTATTATTTAAAAAAACAGCAGATTCTAAAGAATAAAAATAAATTAAAACAAAATCATAAGTGTATCAGATTATCAATGGAAGACAGTTTTAAACTCCAATCTTAAGTTTTCTAACCCTTCCTCGGTTTATTTTAATTTTTTTTTTACCTCAGATGTTTTGCTGCTCTTCAAATTCTGTTTAATTACTGCAGTTCATTCTCGTATCCAAACAAAGGCACTTCATTTGTTGAGATAAATAAGTAAGAAGATCAAATTTCTTAGTGCTTGTACACTCAGTGTGATAATATACAACAGCTTTGAATCCCAAACAACTTTAGACATAAAACATTTCTTTTGACTGAGGTTTTCTTACCGCTACATATTCTGTTCGTTTTGTCTTAATTAGAAATCTTTTGAAGCTTTTAGCAGAAGTTCCTGAACTAAAGTGGCAACATCACATGCAAATTATTGGAAATATTTTATTAAAATAGCATCTTCACATCAATATGATACTGCACACTGCGACATGAACATTTCACAAACACGATATCTTTATAAACAATTATGGCGCCGTAAACTGTCGCCCTGGAGAATTTGTCCACAACCTGCCGTGCGGTGCAGGTTTGGCAGACTGACGCAACGAGGCGTCCGGTGGGAAAACAAACTCGGACGGCTCCTCTCCAGACACGAAACACCAGGAAACTGATGAGCGCCATTCGTTTCCGCCAGGTCTGAGCTGCTCGCCGGGTTTCTCATGGCGGTGTATTAAATAATAGCAAGAACATCACAAAATCCACAAAAAAAACAAACTCCCAAAACATAGGCTGGATTTCCAATCCTCCGCCACAGCAGGTAGCCTCTTTGATTCAGGCTTGTCCATCAGTTTTGAAAGCTTCAGGGAGGGAGACCTCACCAAGTCACAGCTGCCGCTCTGACACAAGGCAACATCCGCTTTTAAAGAGAGCTCAGACAGAAAGCCGCCTCCGTGACCCAAAACGGGACACTGTTCCAAAAAGTGCTCTACTCAGCAGGATACATCAGAGAGAAGCTCCTCTCTGATGGTGGAGGAGTGTTCGGCAGAGCAGTCGGCTGCTGCTCAATTATGTCTGGGCCTTCCTTTCTTCATGCGGGCTGCTTTAGGTTTGGGGATGTACTGGTTGTTGGCCTGGTGTTCTAGTTCTCTGCTGAAATATTGAATGGTTTTGTTCAACCCTTCCTCCAGCGGCACCTGTTCACACAAAACAGTATTACTCTGTTAGTATAAATAACTGACGTGAACGTCACACGCTACAGACACGTTTAGTTACACAGATAGTTGCGGGTTTTTGAAGTGGGGCTTTGAGTAAATTAATAACTTCATTTTTTGATGAAAGACATGTTAGCTTTCAAGCTAGTACCCAGTGAGTGTGTGGCTAACAGAAAAAAAAAAACCTTTCTGCTTCCTTAAAACTCCAATCTTAAAAAGTCATTGTGCTTGTAGAACGCCTTCACGCCGCCATTACGTTTGTCTTTGAATGTTGATGAATGGAGATGTACAGATAAACTTATGACTGAAGTTAGAGGATTTTAAACTTAACCAGTTAAAAATGACAAACCCTTTCTGCCGCTAGCGCTAGACTAGACATTTGTTTTGATTGCATTGACCCAAAATACTGTACATCATAGTCCACTTCCTGCTTTTGGAGCGGTCTCTGGTCTGCTTGGTATTCACATGCACATTTAAACCACATCAGAGTTCCCTTCAACTGAGCTAAGAACTAGGTTTTTAGGTTTTGGTTGAAATGAACCTGACTTTCTGGGGAAGTAAACCAGAGTTGGGTTAAAGTGGACTAAACAGGGTAGGTGTGAATGCACCCTGATTTTTTCATATAGCTTCGTTAACTTATTACTATTGTGTACGGACTATACACAATATAAAGTTTGTAAATATATGAACTTTCCAACACTATATATAGTTCTCCATGACTGTAGAGGTTTCCCCTCTACAGTCATGTTTCATGTCTGTTTCTGTTCCACAGCTTAAAGCCTCCAAGGATTTAGCATTTGATCTTTAAAGCAACTTTTATGTCAACAACCAAAGGCTACATGTGTGGATGGGAACAGCTAATGTCGTGCAGCACACATACCACGGGTTCCCAGCCGAGCATCATCTTGGCTTTTCGGATGTCGGGTCGCCTCCTCTGGGGATCGTCCTGGGCCTCCGACAGAAACTGGATCTGACTTCGGCTCACTGCGTGTCCGCCATACGCATTTAGATTCATTCGGATGGGTTTAGGGACAGAGAAAAACATGTTCACAGGGGCGAAAAAACTGTAATAACTGAACTTTTATGAGATTCCAGGTTTTGGAGAGTGTGGGTGTTATTTACAACAGTTTTACAAATCTAAATATTAACTGGAGAAATAAAATAGCAGAAAACAATCTGATCTCAGATTTTCACATTATTACCTAGTAAAACATTCCCCATCTTCCTTTCCCTGCAGATGAACTTATCTATGTGCCACATGCAGTGGCAGGAAGATTTTGAAGGTTTTCACTCAACACGATATGAATCGTGATAGCTTTTGCATGCATATTTCCTACATAATTTATTCTGTGTTGGTCTGAAAATTGGACAAGAGATAAACGTGAATGAGGGATTACAGGGGTCACAAGCCTGCACTGACAGCGAGAGGGATTACCGTCTTACCAACAAGACTTTTGATGAGTTGGGCAAACTCCAATATGGTGTGTTCTTCTGGGTTTCCCTGAAATTACAACATGTATGTTCATTAAATCATTCTTGTCGTACACGTGAAGATGCATGACAAACGCTTCCATTCCTATGAAGAGTAAATTTTGTGCATCAAAATTTGAGCAACGTTTTTAAGAATGTTGCTCACCAAGTTGACTGGGCTGCTGATGTTGCTGTTCATCAGCAACACGAGGCCGTTGACCAGGTCGCTGCATAAAAACAAAGAAAGAAAGAAAGAAAAAAAAAAAGACAGTTTCGTCATCATCAAAGTTACACAATTTAATAGATATATAATAAAAATGCTATTATTTAATCATTAAATCCATTTTCAATGTGCTTCCAAAATTCATTTTAATCCATTATGTTTACTTCACTGTATAAAAAGACACAAAACAATTTTCCCTCACTCTGACAGTTAATCAGATAGAGGTGGTGATTATGACATTTTCATCTTTATAAATGCCATGATAGATTGACATACGGTTAGAATACGGTTGAATTGCATTTTAACATGTATAATTTGGGTCAGCTGCTTTGGGTTTCCTCACAGTTGATTGTTGGTGTTTTGACCCATTCCTTCATACAGAATGACGCCATAATAAAGCACGGGACAGTGAAGTCTGTCATCTCTAGAAAGTGTCCCGATTTATTGGACCTAAACATTTGAAACATTTCCAAATGGTGAGGTTCAACCAGGACAACAGCTCATCACCCAACACCTCCACCCTCATCCTGGATGAAATTATGAACACGTGTTTCCTCAAATCTTTAGATGTCTGGAAGAAAGCCGAAGATGAGGCATTTTATTTTACAGCCTGACACAGAATCCAAGTTTCAACAAAAAACTTGGAGGGAATGCCTTCATCTGTAAAAAAAAATCTGACTGCAGAACTGACTTTGACAGAAACTCTGTGGATATATATATTTTTTGAACCAGAGAGATTTCCTCGAAGCCTGACCAGCTTGGAAAAACTTTTGCAAAGCAGAAAAAATAATGTCAATTTTAAATGCAAAATATTATCAGACTCCTGAATTCTGGAGTTGAATCATAAGGTGCTTCAACAAAACCACTGGGTGTGAACACGTCCACCAGGTCGTTGCTGCAGCATATCTTTATAGTTGCTGTGGTAAAACTGATTTTCTTAGACATGATTATGGCAAAGAATCATGTCTCTGAGCTTTGGCTCAGGTCCAAAGCTCAGAGACTTATCGTGCACACATAATAATCTGAGGAATTCATTCCACTTCAATAAGGAAATACTGTGAGTGTTACCACCAGCGTTGCATGGTCACCAGATTGCAGATCTAACCATCTGATTTAAAAGCTGATCTTTTTCCAATTTATACTCTAAAGTTTAGATGGAAATAAATTGAGTAGACAGAAGGACAGAAACATTGAGTTTCAGCAATTGAATGTTGTGACACTATTTAACACTGTTGTTTGTATTTCCTTTTAATTCTTGTAAAGCACTTTTTATTGCCTCGTTGCTGAAAATGTGCTATATAAATAAAATTGCTTTACCTTACCAAGAAAAAGTATTTTATCTTTGTACTGCAAATATTTCTGCGTATGTTGAAAGGCTAAAGAAATGTCCGACAATATCGTTGTTGGCTAAAAATTGACTTGTCGGCAAAGTCATTATTGTGACGGTCCTCTGTAGACATTTGAGTTTGAAAGATCAATAAATTTCCATCAATACATCGAGGACTAAAAGAAATTATAAGAAGAACTTATAATTGCAAATTGTACAATGCTACCAACAATAAACAAAACTATTGCAGCTTTTAAAGATATGAACTGAGTTGTTTTTTTAAAATGATAATTGATTTCTGAAGACTACTTTCACAAATGACAGGAAAACTGACTCAAAGAAACTAAATCATAAACAATCAAACAGATTTCATAAACAACAAACCTGAATAGAAGAACCATAGACGTGTATTAGAGAGATCATGAACTATTAGATGTTTTCCCTCTAGAATTTACGACAACATTGAAATGTTTTTGAAGCAAAAGAAATATTTTCACCGTTCGTCTGGCATCCTGACAAAATTGGACCAGCTAAAATCCAAACCATCTGGAGAAACATCAGTTTTACAAATTACTCTACCCTAATGTCACAAATTACCAGAACGTAGGAGTGTCAACGCCTTTGTTTTTATTTTTAATTTCAATTAAACCCAGTTTAGCAACTTAAAACCCAGAAGTGAAGGGATAGAAAGAGTTGAAAAGAATCGTGCAAATTCTTCTGTCAGCAACATAAAAGTCAAAATGATTATGTAAATAGGTGTAAAAGAATCTGATTGTGATTTGGCAAAGATGACGATTATCTGAATATAAAAGCTATTAATAGTAACAATAGCTATTTGGAATAATTCTCAAATTTTCTTAATAGTAAGTAAAATAAGAGATAACTTGAAAAGTTACACTTCCATAATACTATTTACGTTTCCAGGGGGTGTAGTGAAGTGCCTCGTAACATTAAAAAAATAAGAAATAAAAATGAAGAAAACAAAAGTCCTAAAAGTAGCAGGTGTCAACAAATGAAGCTATAAATAACATAAAACATTGGACTAAGGACCAGTTCTTGCCTGTCGCACAGTCTTATTCTGTTGCAACATTTAAGCAGTTTTTCCTACTGAGATCTGATGTTATTTTGTCCCTAAAATGTTGAAACGTTTTGATCTCTGAGCCACGTATTCAAACAGATCTCTCTAAAGCTCTTGAAATTCTATTCACTGGTATTTTCACTGCTTCAAAAGTAAATATATTTTTGCTATAAACTGCTTCTGAAAAGGCCTAAACGGGAGCAGAGTGGTAAATTTACACAGATGTGATGGATGAGTGAAAGAACAGTCTGTTTATGATCGTTCACTTGGAATACCAGAGGAAGATAACATCACTGTCTTGACTGCCAAGCTACACATTGAATTTAATGAACGAAATCTGAGATGATGCTCAAGCTCTAAGCAGATGGCCTTATGCAACACGCTCGGTCCCAAAACCTTTAGGAGCTCTTTGTCACTGAACTGATGCTAAATATTAAGTTACCTAATGCGATGCTGTCAGTCTTGGTAATTATATCTCAAATAAATGCGTAGATGGATGTAACAAGAAGCACATTGTGCCTGCAGTGATTCAGAGGCTCCTGGTTATTAACAGACTGAATCGATTGTGGACATTTCATTTTGTACTGTTCCAGGAAAACGGCTTTGTTCCTTAATCTAATAAGATGGTTATGACTGACTTTGTAAATCAAAACAGTTTTAGGAACTTAAACGCAGAATCCCCCTATAGAAAAGCAGCTAAAGTTGGTTTGTGGCATTTCTCAGCATAATTGCTTGCTGTCCAAAGAAAAGCTGTAATTTACAACAATAACTTGTTGCAAATTTATTTACAACAATTATCTTTTGAGGTGCTTCAGCCATTACTTTACTGAAAAGAAATGTTTGTCCTTGACAGAACATGATTACTGGGGCAAAAATCATTAGCTGGGAAATTATTGATTAAACATGTTGGGATCTTTTGTTTAACATCACAGCTGCAGCTTGAGTCCATTCAAACAGCCCAATTATGCAATGTACAGAGCATGCATTTATGGTATGCAAAGAATAATAATCTACCAAGTGCTGTGTTGAAGCAGTTGTATTATTATAATCTTGGACACATTGATATTGTAATGAAGACTTCCATTTGACACAGAATGCAGCCCTACAGAACATTTGAGCCAGTTGTGGAAATCAAATAAGATACAATATTTAGCCCATTAAGATGTACAAGTGTTCTCACAATGAGATAAAACTTGTAAAACTTTAAATGGACTGACACAAGTTATCAATTTTCTGAACCAACAGTGGTTTTATTTTGAAGACCTGCACAATTTGCAACAATAAGGCCAGTCCATGAATCAGGAAATAGATTCTAGTAGAGTTATGTGTGGTTCTTATTATAAAGCTACAGCCAGTCACAAACTTTTTATCAATGATTTATGACTAGGACCTGTTATTGAGTCAAACACACCAATAAACACAAAACTTTGCACATTTCTGTTGGGATACTGACAGTAAAAGGTAGATTGGTTCAGCTACTCCTATCTTGTTAAATACTTCAGGTCAAAGTCAACTCTCACGTTTTTAGAGCACTCGGCGAAGTAAGTCTTAAGTATTTGTTTTTGCAGTTTTAGTTAGAGACCAATTCAAACACTCAAGACCCCAACTCTGTTTTGGAAATGGCGTGAGAACTGGCAAACTAAAGGCTGGAATCCAAACAAAAACACACACAAAGAAATTGGGCCTTTCAAAATGACCTTTTTCATAAGCAGGATACTTTCCCTTGAGGTATAAATGAAATGGCTGTTTTTTTTCCGAGCCAACAGAGAAAAAATAAACATGAAAATATTTAATACAAATTGAGCTAGCGCACAACAACTGAGAGCAGATGATCTTTTTGCTCTATGTAGCAAACTTATCACATGAATGCTTTTTGTAAGCCATTCTGATTGAACGCTACAGATGTCCAAAGTGTAATTACAGTTTTATAATTTAGAAATCTTTTTATATTGAACAAATAAAATAAAATTCCAGAAATTTCACCATTTCACTCTTGACAAGTTTAACTGGACGTTAATTTATTTTTTTTAATGTGAGGTCAGGGGAACATGATGTTGGTTTACCAAAAGGCTTCAAGCTTTTTCTTTTCTTTTTTCATAAAATGCATTAATATAAAAGTTCACCAAACACTGTTGACGCAAACGTCACACAGGGCAGCAGGTACATGGTTTGATGAGATAGGAAGACTTCAAATGCTCTGCATCTCTGATCTCTCGCTGTCAAATTGTTGAAATTAATCTCCTTATCCTCCACAAACAAACCGGTAACTACTGTTTGAACCTGGAATATATTGATATTTCTGACTCAGACCTGAAGCTGTTTCAGTCTGACTCACACCGATTCTAAATTTCTTCAAGGTATTCACAGAACAACTTACTGGCATGTTCTCTTTAATCTATACATCAAAGGGGGAAAAAACTGTTTTACTTTAGTGAATCTTTAGGGAACAAAACTACCAAATAAAATTTTAGAAAAAAAAAAAAAAAACACTAACAATGGATGATAATCTTTAAACTACAATATTAAATGGTTCAGTATTTGGGATTAAAATGGAAAATAAATGCTTAATTTCCTACCTTACATATTGGAAGGCTCTAGTTTGGGATCCAGTACCGTACACCTAAAAGAACAAAAATTACTAGTATTATTATTATTTGTCAATAAAAAATACATCTCCTCTGAAAACCCATCTGCATTTGCTAAGTTATAGACGTTTATGTTTAGGAGGCTGCAAGCTTGGTGATATCAATCACCAAGTGAAAAAACAGAAATCCTGTCTGTGAAAAATTCATTTATCACAGGAAAGAATTGAAAGGCGATGAAGTAAAAAGCTCAAAAACACATACAGTGAGAGGTTCTCCTTGAAGCGCCTGAAGGATGAAATTACTGACGACCCGTCCGTCATTCATGTGCATCCGGGAGCCAAACGTGTTGAAGATTCTTGCCACTCTCACCTCTACACCTTCCTGCAAAAACACAGAGGAAGGGGAGTTATGGTGCACAAGCTTTTACATTTCCCTCAGCCTTATTCATCTTATCTGCAGGAACCAAGACGTTTAGAGAAAATATTGTAATGCATCAATAAGTACTGACTAAAATAGGGTTAACTTTATTCTTTCATTCCAGCGGAAAAAAACCCAAAAACATACTTAGTGCATTAACTTGTCGAGATTTATGCAGCCTATTACAAAGAAGTGATCTCTAAGAAACAGTAGTCTTCACAGGTGCAAATATATATATAGAGATGGAGATGAATATTGATAAAGAAATCGATTCATATTATGTTGTGACTGTTGTCTTTGGCTGGGTGAACAAAATCCAGTCCAAAATCAAAATCACTACTGGCAGATGTTTATACTACAGAGCAGAACCTGGCATTGTTACTTCTCCCTACATCCAGTGGGTGGCGCAGGTTGCTACAATAGACAGCAGACACACAGGTACACCCGCTAGAAGAAAACAAACACTCCCTGTACAATACTTTAATTCTATTGGCTGAGAGGTTGCCAGGTGACTGTGCCAAAAGGTATTTCCAAAAGCTAGCAGAGTCCAAGCAGAGACCAACTGTGAGTGCGAGGAGAAGTTTTGGGTGCAAGCAATTCAAGTTTTGAGAAGACAGACATGGTGTCCTGCTTTCAAAATAAAAATGTAAGCAAAAGTATTAAAAGTTTTGAGAACAAAAGACATGAAATCCTACTTTGATATTGAACATGTGTGCTCTTGGATTATGGCATAAAAATTCCTCAATAAAAGCCATGTTGTCGTTGTATCAGACATTCAGATTGCTCAAGTCTTCTGGTTCTAGCTTATTCTGCATCCTCAGAACCAGAACCCAACCTGGAGAAGCAATATTCAGTTTTTATGCTCCACTAATCAAAACAGCTGAAACTCTGAGTTTCTTTAAATAAGGCCAAACAACCATCAAAGTTGCCTTTGATTAACAATAACTGGTACATTGACATTTTTACAACTTTAAACCAGTTTAATGTTTTTTGTTGTTTAGTGTGTTATGTTTTTATGGTACATACAAACCGCAATGTCAGCCTAAATCTGACTCCTATGGCTGCATAACTTTCTACTCATCGTAAATGTTAAATGTTAGGCACATACTGTAAAGATTAATCAGTTTTGAGGAAATAGATTGTGAAAAGAAATTCTACCTGACAAGTTCAGAATGATTTTTTTATATTTAGCGTCATTATTGTCAATGTTTTTCTTTGTCAATGTTGTGGAATGGGTTTATGGAATATTGTAACAAATTCAGGTTGCTTTAATTAAAATCACCTCGTCATCACCCAAAATTAAATAACATCATCACCCAACGTTACACAAACAATTTCTGGAAGAACAGTTTACAATATTCTAGTATGCAATTTTTTAATATTGAGGGAATAATTTGCAGGAAGAAGCACCGGGTGAAGGCTGAGCAATTATGCAAACTCTACATTAGCATAACAAACTATTTCTATACAAAAAAAAAATTAAATAAATAAAACAAGCAAAGTCGTGTATTATGCTTATTTGTTTTGTTTTGCAGAAACACAACAGACCGTGACTAATCCTGTCATCAGATTTGGAGAACACCTGGACGCATTTAACCTTTCTTGAAAAAAAAAAAAAAAAAAAAGACTGACTATAGTATGGTAATATCATCTTCAGGTAACATATTTTCTGATTGTGTTGACAGGAACAAAACTTTGCACACAAATTCTGTTTGCTTAGCCATTTAAAAAATAACTAAAAACAGAACAACCTAAATATTTCATCTGAAAGAGAAGATGAGAAATCATGTTTACATACTGATAAAAAGACAAGGCTCTGAACCTGAATTCGCTTTTCTCCCAGTTTTATGCCCACAAGCTACAAATAGCTGCCTTTCATTAAAGACACAATTATGAGAACAATCCCATTCATAAAAATAGAAGCGCATAATGTATATCACATAAATTGAATGCTTTAGACATGTAGGAGAAATCTAATTTCCCAATTTATGTTTTGAATATCTAAAACCTTACCTACTACAAACAGTAAATTAATGTGAACGCCTTTGTGATGGACAAGGATTATAAAAACTCTGCTTTTATAATCTGTGGCCTTCTTAAATTCAGCCTCATGCATCAAGAAAAACACTTTGAATGCTAAGTGGAGCCCTATTTGGGAATAATGCATGAATAAAAACATGAAAATTATGTAGATCGTTCTCTTGAAATGTAGATCATAAAATTCATAAGACCTGACTTGTAAACAAATTCAATATGTTGAAAGATCAAGGGCACGGTAAATAGAATAATGTCCTGACAACTTTTTGTGCGAACACATTGAGCGTAAATGATGATCTTTGACATTAAAGCCAACTTTAGCCGAGGCGTGGCTCAAGCAACCAGCAGCTGCAGTTTCTCTGTTGGAGAAAACGCTAAAGAAGAAAATGTTTACAGTCCATAAAAAAGCATGACAATCATGGTCGCGTCCACCTCTTCTTTATATTTAATGTAAAAATAGCTTGCTCAATCAAATTATTTTAAGGAGTTAAGATATTCCAATCCTAATATTACCATGGTTTTATGCGGCAGCAAAACGTTTAGGGAAAAAAAATGACATTTGTAATAGAGAAGCAACATTTTTTTCAGACAATATAATAAAACAACAGTATCTAAGAAACCTATTCAAACCTTAGGGCAATTTTCCACTGCAGTCAAACCAAACATTTGTTTTGATCCACAAAAGTAAGATGTTATGTTCATTGAAAAAAAATACTACAGGGATCTTATTTTGTTAAGAAATCTAATTTATGAACACTTTCTCTTATGTTTTCATTAAGACATTCAATTTATATTAAAAAAAAATACAAAAAAAGCTAAACAAAAAACAATTGTCTTTGTTCAGGAAACAAATTTGCGAAATTATGTTTATATGTTAAAATCTTGCAAATCTTTTGGTGGTATATTTTTCCCAAAGTTATTGAGAGCCTGAATAGAGGGTCTAAAGAGCCACATGTAACTGAACTGTTGCAAGTTGGAGATTTCTGACCCAGCGACATTCAGTCAGGCAGTTTAGGCCACCTCACCCGTCATCATGATCCAAAATGCAAAGAAAATATCAGATTTATTCATAACTTTGTGATGGAAGATTATTCGCAGAGATGCACAACAAATAGTAACGTCAGTACCTTTCAGCAAAACCATCAACAATCACAATCTTTAACAGGCACAATAAATTGCAATCATTAAAAAAAATGAATATGTATTATCATTTCTAATAATAATACAATTAAATCAGCCGTGTAAGTCGTGCTTTTTCCGCCTTCGCTCCATCTTCCTGTTTTACATGTTAATGACTTTTGATTATATGACAAGATGGTAGATGTGACGTGTGATATTCTTGTCCATCCTCACAGCCCGACTGTCAGCTGGGATTTTTTTAGGGCAGCTGTTTCCGACAATTTTTCTAGCAGGTGTGAAAAAAAATAATGAGCAGCTGAGGAGGAGCAGGAGACGGGAATAGATAAATAAATACCACCTGCCTGAAGGAAAGGCAAAAGGAGTCAGTCATATCTGATCATGAAAGGCTGCTGTCACTCAGGTCATTATCAAAAAGGTTCTACGTAACTCAAATGATTACAAGCCTCATTGAAGGTTGTGCATCATAATTTTCCATGAGTTCATAACTGATTCAATCTCAAAACAATTAATGCCATCGCTCATGAGCTTGTGAAAGTAACACTACTGTTACTATTTACAATTAATTTATTGACAACTTTCCAGACTGTTTAATTTTCAATCGTACTCCATAAGTCAACAAAAAATAAAGGCAATTTCAACCATATCCAGAGATGACACTTTATCCTCCAGTGTCAAGAGCTGACGGTTTCTGTCCGCAAATATTGCCTCACTTAAAAAAAAAAAAAAAAAAAAGGAGCCGACATGAGTTGCGTTACCTGCTTCATGTAGGCGTAGCACATCGTCTCTGCTACACGTTTCCCCTCGTCGTAGCAAGCTCGAGGACCGATTGGGTTCACATGACCCCAGTAGTCCTCATTTTGGGGATGCACCTCTGGATCTTGGGGGGGAAAAAAAAATTAAGACAAGTTTTTAGATTATTTTAATTTAGACAAAATTATGCTCGTTAAATTCTTGATTTCTACAGAAAAACATGTTTACTTAACATTTACTGAAAATTGAAAGTATTTAAAAATCAACTAAAAGAACCTTGGAGGAATTAAACTTTGTATGTAGCCTGCAATACTGATATAAGCGGTTAAAATGAATTTTTCGTCTGAATGCCAATTGCGTTATCCGTCACAAACAAGACGCTTCTTAGAAGAACTTGCTGTAATCCAGCATCAAGATACTCAAACTGATCCCGTCATCAGTCTGAAGATATCCATTTATGCGAACGCAGCAGACACACAGGAAAAATTTAATACAAGGTTGTTAGATTAGTGTGTTGAACCTTGTGTTGTTGTGCAAGTAACTCCCTTACCTCAGAGGTTCCCACTTTTTTTTTTCTGAACTGCTAATCCCCTTCCAACTCACTGAAATTATAGTTCAATTTAATCATGGTTGTACTGCAAAAAATGGCTTAATTAAAGGAGAACAACACTTATCACCACAGTGGCTGCCAATGCTTTAAGGCAGGCATTATAGCATATCGTTGGCCTTTAGCCCTTACAATACATTTATGGCTTAATTTTGTGTTTCATAATTATACCATATATGGACAAAAATTCAAATGAAAGACAAAAAAGGCATGATTTTATTATGATTTCTGCATTCAAACCTCTTTGTTCAGAATTTATTAGGATTCCCCTTCTTGACCTGGAGATATTTTCCCACTTTGCTTCATAAAAATGTATGAATCTCTTGTCCAGAGCAGTTTCAGGTAATCGCACAGATTTTCTGATGGATTTGGAAAATGACTGTCTAGGCCATTCGAACATTTTCTCCTCGTTAAGTCATTCTTTTGTTGGCTTGGATGTTTTAACTGGACTCACTGTGATGCAGAAAAATAGAATCCCTTCTGTTTTTCTTTTAGCAGACTCCTAAACGGCTTAGGACAAAAACCACTGGTATTTTGACCTGTTCATAACCCCCAGTCGTCTGAAAAATGTTTTTTAATTAAATTTATCAATCCTTCAAAAGTTACAGTTCACTGCGGGTATTATGTTATTTTGGTAATGTTTAGTGTTGATTAGTTTTTGAGTTGTGGCCCAATGTTTAGGTGTTTATGATTTTAGATGGGCTATCTGTATTGACATTTTTATGATACCTCTGTGTGTGATAATTTTTGGAGAATACTGCACCAATAATGTAAGGATCGAGTATAAAAGCCTCTCCCCTTGCCCAGCGCACACGTTTCACCACGTTTAGGGTGAAAATGCACATCTCAGTGCAAAAACTTAACATTTAAGCTATTGCGGCTCATTTTATTAATCAGCTTTGATAACAATCATGACAGAAAATAATTAAGAACCACTACGATAGGAGCAGAACGCTGCAAGAGATCTCCATCTCTGAAAAGCTAACGACAAAAACATCCACACAGAACAACCTCTTCACACTGTCCCTGCTCTAAGCAGCCTCGCCTTGTCACAACGGCCCTGTGCAAAGGTTTTAGAGGATTCTAGCCAGGCTTGGGGGTTTTTTTTTATTTCAGACGCTCAGCCTTCTTGTATTGAAACCCCTCTGCAGTTGAATTGGATAAGAAAGGTTAAGGATGGAACACCTTTGAAACAATTTTTCACAGACTCATTTTTGTGCAAGTTTTACAAGGTGTGTAGACTTTTTAGCAAACCAATTAATAGAACACACAAGCATCTTTTTACAACCTCTAGGTAGGCAAACATCAAGCACATAGATGGCCCCTGGAAACTGCAGTTAAAAGCAAAAAGAGTCACAAAAGATGGTCCAAACTAAATGGAATAATGATCAGAAACAAGCCCTTCTTTCAGGTAAATTGTCTTTCAAGGAAAATGTTAAAGCCTTTGCTTTAATTAAAATAAATTACTATGGCCTAAAATACGGCTAATGTTGCAGGTATGTCAGATTTTTTAACAAACCCTGACTTCACGTCTGTTAAAATTGGATGTTGACAACTCAAAAATAACCCTCTTAGGTGCACAATGGCTGCTGACAGAGTTGCTAACTTGCACATGATTGACACAGGACACCGTTTAGCTTTTTCACCTGCTGTCACAACATTCGTTCTTTAAATAAGCCAAACTGGCTGATGTCTTGGTGAAACAGAAGAAGACTGACAGCGCACAGACATAAGAGATGAAGCACATAGTAGCATAGATCCGTCTGAAAACACATTACAGTCTCACTGTCTGACTTTCTGTAACCTCATATTCAGATTTGTGCATTCAGAGCGTTTGATACGTGATGTACCAAATCCACGACAAATCTAATTTAAAGCTAATAAAAAATTAATTATTGATGAATCCTTTAGAAAACCGCATCCTAACCAGCAAGATTGGGAGGTTTGAGACCAGCCTTGAGCTGTTTTTTTCCTGGTCTGTATTCAGCCTTGTTCTCAGAAGAACCAGCCTTGACTACTAGCCTGATACAAAAAAAAAAATATATTTTCTAAATCTACTGTATGAGTATTGTGCAATATAAGCAGAAGGATTTTGTTAAGGAATTCTGTATCAATTTAAGACTGACTTCAATAAATTGTATTAGTTTATTTTAGAAATAACTGGTTCAGTACCATTAAGTAGTTTTGTGCAACCAGGGTTCTTGCAGGTTTCAGTAAATTTAAGACTTTCTTTTTTTATTCCCTCGAAGTTTGAGAGACAACTAAATATCTCTTCCACTGACTTCCATCTCAGTTGATTAATTGTTCCTACAACTCTCGTTGCTGCTGGAGATCTGCAAAGATAGCTGAATCTAAAGTGATAGTTTCACCAGTAGTCGTTTTGCTAAATTAGGAGTTCAACAAGCTTACTACTGCAGACTGTAAAATATATTTTGTCTCAGTATGAGGTTTCACTTCAACAAAATTAATTACCCTTTTACTGTTTATGCGTATTAAGCAAAATCAAACTCAAACATACCCAAATCAAACAAATTAAATATAAGAGAATGACAGAAAAGCTACTGATGTATGATTCCAACTCAATTCAGAAGTGGAAAAAAACAGTAAGATAATTCAAGCGCATTTATATTGCAGCTTCTATGTCTGTCAAAATGCTAATTTACTCAAATATCCTCACTGTTTCCTTAACCTTTGTGAATAAATTACATGCCTCCACATTCTTCCAGTATCCACTCTAAAATGTAAAACCAGCTCTGGTTCAGTTTGACCTTTCGTACCTCCATAAACTTCAGATGTAGAGGCCAGCAGAAGTCTTGCACCCACTCGCTTTGCCAACCCTAAAAGACAAAGCAGCACAAAGAAAACACAACTTGAGATGTAAGGTAACACTGCACTATATTAAATAGAAAACAACACAGTGTAGAAAATGTCTTCCAAAATCAGAATTCAGAGAGCAAAATGTTTTGAGTTATCTCGTTCACGCCAATGAAACCTGAGTCTTGCGCTAAAGGAAGTTGTTTTTACAGAAACCATTTCATCCTTCAAATAAAGTATTTTTATCTCAAATAGACTGCAAAGCCTTTGGCAACATTTGACCAGCCATCCGTCCACTGAGTCATCACTGTCTCATGAAGCAAGGTGCATTTGTTTATTCAACTTTCCAGGGAGGTTACTTAGGACTGCACTGTAAATGGTCGAGCTGTTGACCACATTGCCCTGAATAGTACATCATTGTACACTGGGACCATTTTTGCCAGAGGGAAAAGGAGATGAAATGCCTTGTATAAAGTAAAAGTTGGTGAATAACAGCTGCTGATCGTTTAAACAAGATTTGGTCATTTTATTAAGCGATTTATGGCATGACAAGTAATTGTAATTGGTAAACGAGAGATTGTTGAATAATGATTTCAATAAATGGTTGATAACTTTGTCACTACTGTTCTCTCTAGTTGTTCACCAAAAAAAGGGGGTTTCAGATGAAGGGGTATGGTTTTACTAGATCAAAATCTTTGAGATGTTTCTCGTCCTGAATCAACATTGGTTGCTTGTAAGGCTTCGTTGGTGTGACCTTTGGATTGGTAAAGGTTTCATTTTCCCAAATAGACCAATGCAGAGCCAAAGTACTCGTGAAACATTGCAGCAATTTTTTTCAGGTTCTGTTCCGTCTTATTTTAATAAAAAATGTTTCTATGCCTGAATTAACCTTCTGAATGAGCCAGAAGCAGTTTTACTTAAAAAGTATAACTTATAGTAATCTGTATTTATAAAATATGAATAAAGTCTCTGCTCTCATATTGACAAAAAGCCAAATAGCACAGGATGTGTCCGAATGGCTCATTTGTTACTTCTGGCTACATGATTCAGCCTTAAAACATCTGAAACATCTGCAGAGCTGCTCAGACTCACTTTTCATCATCTAAATTCGAACAATAACAGATGCTACTACAACAGTCAACATAGATTGTTGTATTCGACAATCAATGATTGTGTTTGAGCAATGATTTGCTTTTTTTCTAAATACTTTGATGCAAAGGTTTCCAAAATGAAATCTACTGATTAAAGTGCTTCAGCTTTTTTGATTTCCTACACAAACATGCCCACTGCAATATTGATTTTAGTATAGCTTCTCAGCATTGCAGCTAGAAGTGAAATTTTCACTCAATATTTGTTGAACAGCCATGTGGATGGATTAACTATATCTACAGCATAAACAAAAAGCTGGTAAAAAGAACATAAAGAATAAATACAGACTGACTGTGTCATATATAATAGCAAAGCCACATTCACTGTACAACCTTGAGGTTTTAGAGGACAAATTTTGAACATATCGCAGGCTTTCAGCATCATGAAGAAGGCGTTTGGGAGTGTTTAGAAACAAAACTGCGCTTCAATAGCCTTGATTCCTTTCCAAGTTGAGGATATTGCTTCACTGATCTGAACTGTGGAACAACTCATCAGGTGACATTAGGTCAAACTGAATAATCACCAAGTGAAACATTTCAATTCCACTGGAACTGTTAGAAATGCAATAACTAGGAAGCTGCTAAGAAATAATGCTAAAATATTCAGTAAAGTAGAAATACGTGTAAATATGTCTTTTGTCCACCAAGGCTAAAGCTCTCCACAGAAATTCACTTCATCCTTATTCCATTGCATTCAGTCATGGACATGTGCATCTGACTTGTCATCATTTATCTCATTGTCTCTCTTAAATAAACTAAATATGACTGAAAAAATAGTTTTCTATAATGTAATGTAGATGTGGAAAAAACTGTTTCAAGGGTGCTTTTCAGAGACGGGTAAGAGTAGAAGTGTGATGAAGAGGAGGATGATGGTAGTGGGGAAAAATAGAGGCTGAGAAAACAAAATGAACTCAACGACTTACTGGCTGATTCAAGCCGATATTCACCTTGAGGAAAAAATTTTTATCAAACCTATTAGGAAATATATCTCTGAATAAACAGCCCTAAGTGTTATTGTTACATTTATGAAAGAACAATTAAGATGAATCCCATTTTCTAGAGTTAATAAGGGATCCAGGATATGACAAAATGACAATAATCCAACCCAAACATTTAATCAGTTTAGTTTCACTCCTCAAACATGAAAGTTTGCTGAAATATCTGAAGCAAATTTCTGAACTTGATATTTTTTAAATCAAATCAATTTCAAAAGAGTCTTTTGTTATAACGTTAAAAAATCTGCTTATACAGCAAATGCAATACTGTCCTTTTTAACTTTCTGTTTAAAGAGTACATCTTGTGACCTTGCACAGTGCTGAAGGAAATGAAAGTTTTTGTAAAGATTTTTCAATGAAAACTCAGATGAGCATATTTCTCAAGTAAAACTGTTGCTTAGTGTTGCCTTCGCAGGAGGGCTCCGGGAACCGACATGAATGACTTTTGTAATTGAAAAGTTAGATTTGGTCAAGGTCAGAAACTGCCTGTTTAAAAGTTTGTAAAAATGTTAACTTCAAAATTCAAATTTAGAAATGCCCCCAAAAAAGTGACAGAAATCTTTAATTGTCCAAAATTATGATAAGCTTTAAAAACTGAAGTCAAACAAACAAGATTACTCACCAAGCATGTTCAGAGTACCAATTGTGTTCGTCTTCAGTGTTTTGATGGGATTGTACATGTAGTTAGGAGGGGAGGCTGGAGATGCGAGGTGGTAGATCTGGTCCACTGCAAAAGACCAGGAGATACAGTTAATCATCTTAAACTGTTGGTAATCTTAAACTAAAAGAAACTTTTTTTAAAATATATATAAAAACAGGAAAACAGTGCTTTCAGTAAGTAGGTAATACTTACTGATAACTATGTGCATTATCCCTTTTTTAGACAGGCTTGATGCCAATTGCTAAGAATGAAAAAAAATCATCCTGAAGAAAAGGTTATGAACAAAAAGGCATGTTTAATAATAAATGAAACAGCCTTTTTATTTAGTTCTTCTCCCTCAACATTTCATCTGTTCTCTAATAAAAGTTTCTGATTTGACATTTTAAAATAATTCCTAATCATTTCTCCACTGCTGGTCTTTGCATAAGTTTTACACTAAAAGCACAAAAAGAACTATTATAGGAGCAGCAGGAAACTTGTTTAATAAATATATATATTTTTTTTATTTGTTATTTTGTTTTTTTTTCTCAACTGTGAGTAAATTTAACTTAAATCAGCTGGGATATTTAATTCATCATGTCTCATAGTTTCCACATAAAAACATTGCATCATTTATACTGTATGCATTGAATTATTCAAAAAGCGGTAGGCCGAGGGCTTCTCATCATAAACACGAGTGAATTCTGTGAGACATTTCAAGGTGCACAACCCATCTAAGCCAAAAAAACCCCTACCAACTATTTATCATAGCAAACCTTCACAGAGTTGGCTGTGTTGTACGTCCTTTTAGTTCTTACTGACACTGACGATTACACAGCAGCTACAAAAACAAAGCTGTTTTCAAAAACAACAGCTGATTTAATGGAAGATATTTCTGAACTCAGACAATTTTAAGAGTTGACTTGAAAAGTAAAATTTGCTTCACCCAGATTGGGAACCGATTGGGCTGTGATGTGATGTAAATAACAGACTTAATTGTAACATTTGTGTCTAAATTTAGCTGTATCTGTATGCTACATTTATTTCTTTTACTGAACAGTTTGTGGCCTTTTGAAATGTAATTTCATTACCCTATAGTGGTTTGCTGCCAGGCCAAGTTACACTGCAGCAGTAATGTAAGAATGTGCTTGCAAAAGGCAACATCTCTCTTTTCTCTCGTATATTTTTACAGAAAAATGATCAGAAACGGTTAACATTCACATCATTTAGGTAAATGCCGTGAATTCATATAGAACTTTTAAGTGTAGAGAATACATTTCAGTGCAGTCGAGGTCCGGCTGATATAGAGACTTTTAATGTGAGCCTTTATCCATTCTATGGCACTTTTATTCCTGCATATTTTGGATAAATCTCCAGGAGAAACACCAAATTGTGTCCAAATATCTTCAATATGAGCCCAACTTTCTCAGTCAAAAGAAAGAAAATCTGTTTGTGATGTTAAAGAACAACCCGGAGTCTATGAAGGCTCAAAGCTTGCCAGGAAATGGAAGCTGCAGAAATCTCACTGTCACTTTCTGCAGTGAAGTGAGTTTTATTTAGACATGGAAGGAGAGGTTGCAGATCAAGAGAACACAGAATACTTTCATGAAAAGGTAAAAAGAACATGCATCTGTTGGTAAAAATTGCTCAAAAATTGATATAAGAGATCAAATGAATGTAACGATTTTATCCATTTGCACATTAAGATGGCTTCCATGGAGCATTTTGACAAAGCAGAGAGTTATTTACTATGAAAGGAGGGTCACTGATGAATAATAATGGTGACTATTTTCAAAACAGAAGAAAACAGAAAATTACCTACAAATCAGTAGAGAAATTATACAAGGTTTTGAGGGTTTCAAGTTAAATGTTTTCATCAAGAAAAAAAAAACACTACGTGTACATAACTACAGTAATCAGACAACACTATGTAATTAAATGTCAATGAACAGTACATCTTGTCATTAGATTCAATTACTCTTTCACTGATCAGACAATTTTAGTCGCTCTCCAGAAAGTTTGCAAAACTTGAGTATTTGGCTTCGATAACTGTCTACACTCAGAGGAAAGTACTGAGCAAAAGGTAGCGTTAAGTCAAATACATCATGACATGCCTGAGTTTTCTCACCCTCTATGTAAAGCGGCTCCACCACATCATGATTGATGAGTTCAAAATTTTCGTGACCGATCCAGTGCTCCACGTTTCGTTTTCTCCCTGTGAAGAAGTTGTCGACCACGGTCACCTCGTGGCCATCCATCATCAGTTTGTCAGTCAGATGGGAACCCACGAACCCAGCCCCTCCTGTGATCTAGACCAGGAATAACCATACGGATATGTCTCTTACTATCAGCCAGTTCAATTAGAAAGCACTAAAATGGAAGCTATATTAACCAACAACAACAACAACAAAAAAAAAAACACATGAAATTTCAGATCAATAATTTTTTGACAAAATAAAACAGCTGCAGAATCTTAGTTTCAACAATTTGGAAGCTACAATCTTTTTGTATTAAAAGAATATATGGAAATGAAGTAGTTCATTAGTCCCAAAGAAATGTTTTTTGTTACATTTTTCTTTAGAAACTGTACACCAATAATATAACTGATATATGGTAACTGATATAAACCTGGTGGTTCAGAAGCTTTTTTGCAAAATGCAAGTTTTGCTTTTAATGAATGGCTCCATGTCTTTTACCTGTTTGCTACACAGATGATTTACCATGTTTGTATCCACAACATGGAAATAGAATAACTTGACATTTTTTCTAAATAATTTCTGTAATACATGAGAAATATTTTCCTCTGGTTTTTCATATTCCAGTTAGCCAGGCTATTTGATCATTAGCAGAAAACCTAAAACTGCATGTGGTGAACAGGAGAAAACATCAGTTTCCCTTTGAGTCAAAACCTTTCTGACTGAATTCACTTGAAAGAGGCAACCTTTGAAAGGCAGCCTCTGTCAGGGTCAGAAAAACAGGACATGCTGCAAACATTCATATTCCCTACTAAAAGGTCATACAGGATGTTTGATGTTCCTTATGTCTTCATTTTGAGTAAATATAAAAATGACCTGGTGGTCCTGTTCTACACAGCATCAGCTGGTTGAGCTCAGAGATAGTATCTCGAAGGCTAATAAAAGCTGGTCATATTTTGAGTCCTTTCAACACTTTTACACCTTTTAGCTTTACATCTGATCAGTATTTACTGTTTGTTTCTGTCTATGTTATTGATTTCCAAACATATATCTCTTTGCTATTAAAGTCTCACACCCCCAAACTATGTTAAGTGTGCAGGATGTTTACTAGTTCAATGTCATATCTTTCATTAAGGAGAAATATTTGGGGTTTTTTTTTATTCTGAAGAAGGTTTATGTTGTAACTTTTGTCAAAATTTTACTTTTTGACCTAAATGTCAACCTATTTTCTCCAAAAAAATAAAAAAAGGTTGACTGGATGACACTTGTCATTAGAGGTTTTTCATCCTGGGTAAAAAGGTCTAGAATGTGCAACATCAGTGCCATGTGAGGCTTTTCATAAATTAGGCCAAAAACATTACTTTGTTGTAAACCAGAAGTCTAATAGAAAGGATATAAGTACTTAAATTTAATTTATTTTTCATATTTTATTGTTTCTTCATTTTCCAAAAACATAAAAATTAGCCAGTTGGTTCTACCAAAAAAAGAAGCTTTTTTTCCTCTCATGAAATTTGTAATAAATAAAAAAAATCTCTTAAATTATTGTTTAATCTTCCTCAAAAAAATAGATATTTAATTCAGCAGACATTAAAATAATAAAAGTAAATAAACACTGATGTCACACCGTTTTAAACCTCATGACAAATAAAGTTAAGTAGATATCAAGGGTCTTTTTACCAAACTCACAAGAAAAGTTATTCATTAACACTAAATTTATAATTTAGTCACCATGGTAGTGATAATTATACTGAAAAAATATTTTTGGGAAATTTTGAGTTTGTAAGAAAAACATTTGAGTTCGAACCAAAATGATGGACAGCAATTTCTTCCCCAGAGGCTTTAATTGGGTGTAAAAACAACAAAACTGTTACAGGATGCTTTATAGATCTGCCTCAGAACGGCTTGAAGGCAAAACAGATCTTCTTTAATGAACTGATCAGCCATAGTTTTACTACCACCAACAAGTAAAGTGAGTATTGTTGCAAAACAATCTTCTGATGGAAAAACCTGCATTCAGGTGGATATCAGTTTAAGACCTTTTCATGCAGTCACTGCGTTCTGTGAGTCTGACAAAATGTTCTGCTTTCATGTGTGAATCACCCCTCTGGTGCTTTTTAGTGACATCCTGCAACGAATATCTCATTCGGGCTGACCAAGCAACACATACATCTCACTTTATATGTGGCATGAGCCTCAAGTGTTGCAGCCACATTAACAAACTGACTTACACAGCTGCGCCACTTTAATGAGACCTCTGACTGACTGCTCAGAGGATCAGTCTGCACTTTTTTTCTGCCCTCCTCTGACATGTCAGTGGACTAAGTGCTGTTTATTAGTTTATAGACTGTTTGGGACAGTTGTGTGAGAAGTTTTTTCACAATGTACATCAGGATGAGGGCTAAACTTTGAGCCAGCTATAGTGCGGTGATTAACTCATTTAAGTGCTCTGCCACAACCCTTCAAAGCATGTTAATCACATTATAATATGTGAATTTCACATTTATGTAATTTCAAAGATTGGGAGCGACCCAAATATTTGGGACTGTTTTCAAGTGTGAAATTTTACTTTTGCATTTGTTCCAAAAGTAACACAAACACATATTTGCAAAAACAGTGCAATTATTTTGCAACAAAACACATTGTCGCCATGTTTCAAATTAAATTTGAATAATGTTGGTGAACCGTATGACTTCCCATGACTCGGCCCCAGATAGTGGGTTTTCTATATAGTTATTAATATATAAATATATATATTTTCACCTCAACAATGAAATTTAATTGAAAAATTTCAGATCTGCTGTTCACTTCTTTACCTTCAAAGCTTGTTATGCTGCTTAAATAATTGACACCAAATGTATTTCAGCAAAAAGAGCATGAGTGAACAGTACTAACAACTAAAACTTTGTAACATTGTGCAGGTCTACTGCTAATAAAGTATGTGCTACAGTCAAACTTCTATTTGAAAGGAAGTATCAAGAGACAGAAGCAGCATTCAGCTTTCCAAACATCAGCGTATTGCATGGCACCTCAGGAAGCACAGATTAATTGCCTAAATTTTTATGTTTAGAGTTTAAATGTGAGCAGGATAAAAGTCAGACCGTGCTTACAGTTTGTTGGGAGTTTGCCAATAGCAATCTATGTGACCTCAATAAAGCAAAAAGAAAGGAATTGAAAGTGAAATAGCACATTTGTAATTGATGTTTTTTCACTCACCAAAATTCTTTTTCGATCTTTTTCTGAGAGAAATTTCACCGGTGGATATTTCTGTGAAAAGCTAGAAGAAAAAAAAGCAGGTTTTTAATTACACAGCATCTAAAGAAACCCAAAACAAGAATGACAGAGCAGACAACAATATAATTTCAATTCAAAGTGGTGTTCAGAAAAAAATTTGAGATTAAAGAGATAAGAGAAGAAAGACAGAGGTTATTTTTTCCCTCTTCTCCCTTTTGCACTTTGGAGTCAAGCACATATCAGCAGGGAGCTCCTGAATACAGCGGCAATTATTTTTAATCCGTATTCTCGTCTTTCATTTACATTCACCGCAAAGATGCAGTGAATGTAAACCAAGACGCTAAGGAAACACAAATATGTGTCTGCTTTATTGTGACAAAATAAACAAGGTGGTCAAAGAAGAACAATAAAAATTTTATAAAACAAGAACAATGATCTATATATTCATCTCATCAGCATTCGTGGTAAACATGCTTTAGGAACCTGTAAAAGCCCGAGGGCTGATCAGCAGCAGCTGCACGACTACAGAAAAGCAGCACCTTCAATCTTTCCTAAGCTTGTGCCCACACAGCTGCAAAACCAAGCCTCTTGCATTGTACATACTATTTCAAAGGGTCACCTCGTTTTGTGATGCGCTGCATAGAGCTGGGACTAAGGCTTTACTATGTAAAGAAATGCTTCAGCATTCCTAATAGCAGAGACATCATTCAAATTCAAGACATCAAAAATTAACATATCTTTCTGTCACAAGCAAAGGATGACCTCTGATTCAAGTCAGTTTCAGTCAATCATTTCTGTCTCTACTTCCTTATAACGTCATTCTAAGCCACACGCAAGGTTAAAAAAACATTGTCTGTTATTAATGAAACTGAAAAGGATTTGCTGAAAAGCTTTGAATAATCCACACCTCTGTTCCAGGTCACGAATCTTCTCTCTCAAAGGAGCCACAGCCTAAAGATAGTTGGAAAGCAAGAAATGCATCAGTTCTGAGCGCATAACACAAGTTACACTGATTCCATTGTGTGTGAAAGTTACCACAACAAGATGCTAATGCAGGTTTATGAAAGAGTCCCCAATTTTTATGTTAATTTATAACCAAAATATTTGATGAAATGTGAGAGAAAGGGCTAGAATTTTTTTCTAAAATTCAAATCAGACACAGGACATCAGTTATCCATAAGTGTCTTTAGCATCCAGAGTAAAATTACCATCTGCTGTTTTCTATTTCTATTTAACCTATTTCACAATAGGTTAAAACAAAAATAAGATAATCAAGTTTCTGAAGTGTTTTATTTTTTTCCATAATTTCACTTAAGTGAAAAAATGTATAACCTGTGAATTGATGCTGTCTGGAACCAGCAGACAACCTCATTGGTGTTCAATTTAAATGCTCAAACATGTAGTTAAATCTGTTTGCAGACATATTGCTTGCAATTACAGAGGTGTTGAGTCATCATTAGTTTGTGTGTTTGTATTTCTGAATAATGCGAAAGCTGCACTACATACATCACAGGCAGAAAGGAGATATTATTTCAAAGGCAAGCTAACTCTTTCAAGTTTTAAGGTCAGCATGATAAAGTAATTATTTCTGTTAAATATGACGTGAGAGTCATGTTTTAGCAGATCAGAAATAAAACTGTGCTCACCATAGTGTGAAAAACCGCCAGAGAATCTCAGTAACAGTTTCAATCAAAGCTTCAAAGTCTTACTAATAAATTACTAATCAATCCAAGGGATGCATCCAAAATCCAAAACTGAAAATTCATATTCTGGCTCACAGAGGGTCAGTGTTCACTGTGATTACTATCAACAACTGGCTGGCTGATATTACATCACTTCATGTCACTCTCAACTCCTCTGTGCAGTTGCAGCTGGCTTTTTGAGAATTATAGTACATATGTGTCATCCAGTCATCTGAATTTTACTGACAATCAGGTTTTTGTTCACCTGCAATAAACTTGTGTGAAATTTTAAATATAAGCTCACTCTAATGAAAGCTTCAGATTGTTAGTATTTTGTTCCTGCAAATTTGTAAGTAATAATTTGTTTAATAAATAATGCATGGAACAAAAAGCCTGGATTATACACATATGTGTCGAGTTGTTCCAGGGTTTTGCATCCTGCGGCTCCTTTAGCTAAATAAAGAACCGGCTGATGTTTTTAAAAGTAGAAGTGATAACAAATGTGTTTTTCTTTTGTTTTTCATTGAATTAAACTTCACAACAGAACAACACTAAAAGTAAAATCAACATGTTTTTAGATCAATTTTTTGTCATCAGGTTTTAGCTGTACCATGTAATACAAACAAGGCTGATGTGATTTCTACGTCTTTTTCTACAAATAAAGATCCAATTCACTTGTCTTCATTTTAAAACTTAAAAATTTAAATTAAATGGTAGGTCTTGAAAAAGGACAAATTTACTTTAGTAGATATTTATCACAAATTATTTTTTTGTTTGTTTTTCAAAGGGTATGTAACATTACTGGTTGTAAATGGGTTTTATTCAGACTGACTCAGGAAGAAAAGTTTAACCTCTAAGTGCTGTGTGTCAGGTCACAACGACGCAGCCTGCGAAAGGATAAAAATGCTCTTCAGCCACAGATGTGAGCCTGTGGCTTCGCTCAGAGCAAAGTGACTGCTGCAGCGCTACAGCGGATGACATTAATTTAGCTGATAAAAACAAGCCGATGCTGCTTCCACTCCAGATGTAGCCAAGGCTTTTTGATGATGCCGGCCACAATATTCACTAACAGGCTTCGCTCTGTGGGTTTTTACGATTTCTACTTCAAATTTAGGCAAAATGTAGAGTACTTCATCTGGGTTTTTTGAAAAAGAAAATAGAAAGCATAAAAAGAAAAAAACTTTTTCCTCACGAATCAAATACGTTCTGAGCTTTATCGACTTATTTTGTTGTAGTAACACTGCAACTTTTTACCTTCCTTCTAAGGCAAATAGCAAACATTTTGCCAAACTTACTTCATCAATTTTCTGCTCAATCTTCACATCTCCATTTTCTTGTATCGACCTATTCCGCAAGAAAATGATAAGGGAAACAGATAAGGAAAGAAAATATTGAGATATGAACAAGTCTTTCCTACATGAGATAAGAACAATACCAATCATCCCAAGCCCATTTTGTCACAATGGAGACTTGTAAATAAAAGGCTGTTACATAACAAATACGGCAGGAAATCTATAGTGACTTTAAATTATTTCTCCCTATTATTCTGCATATAATTACCAACAATGATAATACAGGAACTTCTCGTCAAAAAGCCTGTCGTGTGTTTGAAGGGAAAAACCAATAAAGGTATGGTTTTAAAATGAGTATGTATTGTAATCTAACATTGAGCCAGAACGGCAAAGGAAGACTGAATTTAGTTGCTAGTGTAATCCAGAAAGTGCACCGATCAAGCAAATGTGCCGTTTTAAGTTTATCAGTGAACATTTTTTGCTAAATTAACAGTGAAAAACAAAGAACAGAGGAAGAAGCAAAAGCTTTTCTTAGATGTCGACATCAAAACCATCAATTACATGTGATTGAGAACAAATAAACAATGATAAACTGGATTCGAAACATGTGATGTACATACTTTACATCAAGTAGAAGTGTGATAGAAAAATAACTATTTTTACCTCATGTTTGTATATGTTCCCCAAACAGCTGAAAGAGAAAAGTCAAAGATAAGTCATGATAAAGCTTAATGGAGATAACGCAATACATATTTTAGGAGTAGCAGCAATTTAAGACAGAACATCAGAAAGGAGGCAAGCTAAGAGAGAAAAATTGGTTCAGTTGTTTTTTTTTTCTCATGTAATCTGACAGCATTCCACATATAGTGAATGCACACCCAAGTGGTTGGCTCCAACTAATATATAGCTTTTCATTGTTGTGACCCAAACTTGATCTTATGCTAAACAAAGTTAGGAGTTTGTATCCAGCCCCAACATGTATGTTATCGGTCAATGAAGCAGTTTTCAGTCCTGGTCATCAAAACCCACTGCCCTTCAGGTTTTAGAGGCGAGGGATGGGTAATCACCATTTATTTAGGTCAAGTGTGTAGAGGCAGGGAAACATATAAAACATACAGGGCAGTGGGCCACTGCTCTAACATAGACATGCAGCTCAATGAATTAAAATGTCATTAAAAGTTCATTAATGTCACCCTCATAAGATTGAAATATCTGAAGAGTTGATTTGAATTAGTTTTGATGATTATGACTTGCAGCTGAAAAAACCCAAAAACTCACGCAAGAAATGCCATGTTGTTCTCTACACAGTCGCAGACAATTACTGATGTCCCCTACAATTCTTATCAGCCGTCTTTAAGGAAGTTTTCAAGCGTGTCTTACTTCCCTCAGCTGATAACCTATCCTAATTTCATTTTCCAGAAGAACTTGGCGCCTATCCACATGTTGCCCGGTAAAACCAGCCCATTGTTCTACACTTCGCTTGGGACAAAGGGCCTGGTATTGAGAAACAATTGCTTCCTGGAAGCATGGATGGTCTCTGACTAACTTTTGAACTCTAACTAGTCTCTGCAGTTTCCTCGTGACGTATGTAATGTACCAGTTTGAAAATATGAAACTTAACGGAAATTGCCTGCACTGTAAACAACCATCCTCGGACCGGCACTTCAGAGAGACAAATGTCGATCCGAACGAGCCGGATACAAACTCACATGACCTAAATCCCACTGAGAATCGATGGGATGTTGTCAAAGGAGTCAGACACACCAGACCAAACAATTCAGACAAGCTGAGAGCCTCTTTAAGCCAATTTAAGGAGATCCACAGGCTATTTGCCTCTATGCCTACTGAAAATTAATTTCAGTAGGTTGCTGTTTTTGTAAACATCTTTAATTACGTAGCATTTTGCATGCTAAATTAATATAATATTACAATAATATTGAAATAAATCAACTTTGGAATGATTTTCTAATTTGTTGAGCTGCATCTTTATGTTAGATAATCATTCACAAATATTAATTTAGATGTCATAATTAGGAAATTAATTATAGGAGTTAAAGACAAATCCAGGTCTGGATAAGTGGGGGCATGGTTTTAGCGAAGCTCTTTTCAAAGAAGTAATGATAACATATTTATCTTTTGTTTGTTCAAGCAATCACCTTACTGGTTTCACCTATGAAACCAGTAAGGTTTCACAGAGATTATCTTGATGTGTTTGTCAACACAGCGCTGCCTTCCAGAATGTTCCCACAGGTTAGTACACAGCTGCTGATGTTATACATAAATATCACAAGCATAATGTGGGGAATTGTTCCCTGGCTTTGTTAAGAATAAAAATAGAAGCATAAACCTAGGATTAATGATTGACCCGATGACAGGTTAAGTGGGTCATATCTGATTTGTCCAGTCACTTAAATTGATTGGAAGATGGTTTGTTTTGTGAACGAAGAAATACCACTCATCCATTTGCCAATACTTAATCAGTCCAACTAAACCTCTGATCCATTATCAGACCACAGAATCTTGATTTAGTATCTCCTTGAAGCTCAATAACAGCCACAAAAGGCTGTAGCAACACACAACAATAAACTAATGAATCAATAAACTAATAATGTTTTGACCAACATCAATTACTTTTCAATGTTTTTCTGGAATTTATTTAAATATCATTTTAAAGAATTTAAATGTGCTTCATATGCAAATGTTATGGGTTTTATCATACAAGTGGCTCTACAAATATCAACTAAATTCTTAATAAATGACATATTATTCTTTGTACCTTGTGTAAACCCGCAAGTTTTTTTTGTTAAGCTGTTTTTATGTGTTGTTGATCTAATAAAACCCTTTATTTTTAAAATAAATTCTTGATATTGAGATTTTAAACTCTATGTTAAATGGGCAGATAATGTCAACAGCTGTTACTGTTAGGCACTTACACAGTACTATTTATAGGACATCTAACACTGGAGGCATGGCCAGCTACTGATATTATTGAAGATTTAAGATTACAAATACTGTTTCAAAAATCACCCCCAAAAATATTATATCATAGCTTTCCTTTTACACTGCTTTTGACAGGATTTTCTATGGTCGTTTAGAGCAGAGTAACGCAGCAATGCTTCTTTACCTACAACTGGTAATACACTGCCGGTCAGCTGGCTGAACGAAGGCTGCTACTGTTACTACTGTTTAACACGCTACTACAGTGTTTGCAAATGTCTGTGGTTGCAAAAAACAAGAGTGACTGTGTGAAAATTAAAGGGGCACCATCTTTTACTAACGTAACTTTATTTTAAATTTATGAGTGGCATGAGGTGACTAAATACTGGGTACCCCAGGACCAAACAGGTATTAAAAGCATAACATAATCATTTTAGTCAATAAACAGCATAAAGGCAACAAATATTCAATGCAATAAGCACTTAAAAACGTTTGAAGATGTTTAATCTTCAACTTTGTTTAAGTTAATATATCAATTAAAATTACAATAAATACATATTACAGATACTATTACAGATATGCTGTATAATGTTTGCATCAGTACAACTAATTGTTGCCTTTCTGTTTATAATAAATTATTCATATAATTTCCATTTTTATTTTGAAATAGTGGATTCTGAACCATACTTAACATACAGTACTAGTAAAAAACCCAACCCGGTTCATTTAAACCCAACCCGGTTCATTTAGAGCTCTAATTCAGTAGTTAAACAATCGGATATTTCAGCATCAACACTGTGAATTTTTCTTCTATTTAATAAATTACGACTCCCAGAAACGTAAAAACTGTTCCCAGAAAACCATACTGCAACCTATTTTTTTTCTTATTATCTTGTCTAAATGTGAACAATTCAGGTTTTATAATCCACATCCACAGTGCTTGGCCACTACAGAGTGGCGGCAGCCTGTTGTGTTGCTGGAAGTTTACACAGCAGAGTCAATGTGTAGTTGAAAGATAATCAGAAAGAGATTTGTTTTTAAGATTATCACGCTTGACAAATGGCAAGAATATCAAATCAATGTACTCACAGGCAATGTACGCGATCAAAGCGAGAGCAAAAAGTAGCTTCATCATTCTTCTGTTTAAGCCTGAAAGCAGCCAGAAGACCCGCTTCATCATCCGACCCAAGCAACAGATCCAGGAAACCAGTTGACCACCCGTTCAAGTCCAGCTAGTGCATTTTGAGTTGATGTTGTTTTCATCTGATGATTTCTGGGTTACTATAAATGGTGGGTGCCACTGAAAATGTAAATAGCTCCTGGGGAGGACAGGCTTTCTCGCTCTGCTGCTGCAACGTCAACACCAAGCAGTTTACGTGGCTAGCAGCGTAACGTATACAGGTAGCAAACCGTTAGCTGTCAGGTGGCCAGGCACGCTGTGGAGGGATGACAATCATACCTCGGTAGATGCTTATTTAACAGAGTTAACATTTATTCCCATATGGGAATGCGGGTTACTATAGATGACCATAAATCCCGGACAAATGCGTCACTGTGGTCAATACGAACTGGTTAGCCGTTAGCTTCGCATTAGCCGCGCCTGGTTAGCATACCACTTAAAGTCGCTGCCTGTTTTCTTGCGTTCGCTTCAGAAAACAACACAGAAATTAGTCTCAAATTCGGACTTTGGTGCAAAAACACAACCGCCTCTCATTTAAACGGAGGACGCGTACAAACATGACGAAGTTGCTCCACTCAGCTGGGCCGAGGAATAACTGATGAGCGATTGTTCGTCGCTCGATTTGCCAGCCTGTATGACGTTCGTTTCACTTTTGCACAACTCACACAATAAAGCTTTTGTTTCGGTGTCACGTCGTTAACATTCTTTCCTTGCTTAGCGTTAACAGTTTTACACAGCCCTAAACATTAATGCAGTCGTTTTAAATTTCCAGAAACAGATCGATATTTGTGATGCTTTTCATACCAGTTTGATGTTCCCATTTCAGCCAGTGTGGTCTGTTCAGAGCTGCAATGCTTTTTAACTACAAGTTACTGACATCAGACTAAGAATGAATACTTAAATGATTTATTAGTCCCTCATTTTTAAAAGTAAGCACAAAGTAGTGAAAAAAAATATTTAGTAGGTGAACAATTTGTTTGACTGTTGATATGATTCTTTTTCTGAAATTATTTAGTTTTATGCCAGATATGACAGGACCCACAGCTTACAAAAGAGTTCCACTTTTATCACATCAGACAACATAATATTCTTACAGACCTGCCCAGGGAGATGAGTCTTTATGTTGTTTTTGCTCTGCAGTTGATTGTCTTGGTATCTCTAAAAAGGATGCCAGCTTTATTCAGTCTCTTTTTGTGGCTGATTCACAAACTTTGACTGGAGGAAGCAAAGTCTGCAGTACTAGCACTACTTGTTTTTTTGTGACCTTCTGCACGAGTCATCAATCCACTCTCGGAATGATGTTGGTAGTCCATCACTCCTGAAGTAGTTTGGCACGTACTGTTCCATGGCTTTTGTGTTTGTGGATAGAGGGTCTCACTGTGCAGACTCAAAACCTTACAAGGAGCTTTGTAACCTTTTCCAGACTTGTTGGTACCAATGGCTTTACTTCTTGTCTGTTACAAATGTCTGTTTGAGATTTGTAGCCTGATTTGTAGGCAGGCACTACATTAGAGATTAGGAGCAGGTTTAGCAAGTGTAATTGTACCAAAAATCACAAGTAACTAATGGCACAAAAAGGGAAGATTAACTTTTCTTTCCTCGACAAATGACTAGAAAAATGCTTTTGGAATTTACTCAGGTTCCTATGTTTGGTATAGATAAATATAATTTGAATTAGACAAAATACCAAAAGCAGAATAAATTTGTGTATTATTTTCTCATAACATTTTTTATTTATTTCCCCAGGAAATCCCACTGAGATGAAGAATTTGTTTTACAAGAATCCTGGCCAAGACTGGCGTCAGCACAGTTTGTAAAACTTGCCTGTGTGTGTGCCTACAGCTAGATCACAAAGTATTTCTGCAGTTTGCCAGAGTCTGGTTTAGTTCATCTTTCAAAGCATGAATTTGAAAAGTTCAGCTTACAAAACAGCACAAAACTTATAATTTTGTGGGTAGATTATGTCTTGCAAACTGTTTTTGTATGGTGCTTTGTGATCTGAACTTGCTTTGATCTTCCTCATGAACTGCACTTCAACAGAAATAGATTCCCAGTAAAGCTTTTATCATATTGATGTTATTTTTTTCTTTTTACACGCCACATCAGTTCTTATTTAACCCTCTGATGCGTGACTGACTGAATACACAGTCTTCCGTGAGTGGGTCATTTTTGACCCGTGTCACAATCAAATGTGTTTTTATGCTACTTTTGTCATTTTCAGTCAAAATAATGTTTCGTATAATTCTTTCTACTGTGTTTTATTTCACACAAAAATTATTTCATGTTTGAAATATTTTAAGTAAGAAACAAAGATTCCCATTAAATTTCATAGGAAATGAATGTGGCTAATTTTTGACCCTCTCACGGAATGGGGTAGTAATATAAAACATGACATTTCTTAAAATGTATAAAAGCTCAATTAAAAATTTGAATTGCATGATATCAGTCACATATTTTTTGAGGAATAGCTGGAATATGAAGTGATGAAATCTTTTCATTACAAACATATTGCAAAAAGATGACCTTACTGGGTCAAAAAGGACCCACTTACCCATCACATAAACCCAATCAGCTACACGTTCACTGACTCTGAAAGCACAATAAGTCAAAAAAAGTCTATATGTTCACTGCAACATCATAAGTGATGAATAAAAGGCAACTGAACTATTATTGTTTATAAAGGCTTTTCACATTTTCTTATAGTTTGGAGGTGAAACAGTGCCCTTCTATTTCAGTACTTTAGATTGTCAAGTTCTGAATGACTGAATCTTCACCAGCACACTACATCATCCATCAATGGTCTGATTCACACAAGTGAAAGAAATGTATTTTATATGTACATGTGCAGCAATCAGTCACAGGGAAAATTAGAAGTGGCAGAATGTCTTCAATTTTTCTCGAGGCAGCTGCTCCACTTCCTGTCATGCCTCCATGTCTTTCATCCATCAGCCTAAAGCTCTTCAGATGTCATGTCTGTTTGTGTTTTTACAATTCACAGCAACATTATCAGACTTCTCTCTCTGTGAGGTTTCACATAATACTACATACACCCTGGAAGTATTTTTAGCGCTTTGTGAATGTGCAGCCTTTGCACCAGAGGTCTTCATATTTCTGGTGATAATCTTTATTGCCTTTTGTTAATGTTAGTTCTTCATGTTTGCGTTTCTGATGTTCAAAGAAGCTTTTCTGTCTTTGCCACAGTGAGTATTAAAAAGCACTGATTAAAGCAGCTAAAGTCATTAGTGCAGAAGTGAATGTTAATATTTTATGTGGCTGGGTTATTGACGCAGTGTGAAATTTACAAATGCAATCAGACTCCCTTGGAAATACTTTCCGCAGATGCCTTGGTGAGAAAGATAGACATGGCTAAGTAAGATTACTTAATGGATTTTTGTTTTTTAAATAACTGCTCCTGGTCTATATTTAATTTGTGAAGAAGCACACTGAAAAAAAAAGGAAAATCAATTTTTGTTTATCAGTTTTTCAATTAATTTCAAATTACTAGTTTCAACACAGGCGTCCTTCTTGTCAGGACACAAAGTTTATCCATCACTTTCCAAGCCCATCATGAAATGCTTGGAAAGTGATGGAAGTTTCTGGGAAAGAGTTGTCTTGAGCTGAAGTACCTGCTCATTTTTTTTTTTTATTTGCAGAAGAAAAACATTTAATTACTCATAATGTTACATCACTTTGCTTGTTTATGTTTGACATAAAAAAATCTAACTAAACTTCTTCAATTTTTCATCTCAAGTGTGAAGGGGATACATCTGATATACAACCAGCCAAGGTGATCAACTATATAGCTCTGCAGCATAGTGTGAAATTGCCGAGTGGTGTTTGAATGCTAAGCTAGGGGAACAATGATGTAAATAAACACTGAATTTTATCAATTCACTCTGTTGTGATTCAAAATAAAGATAAGAAATGGCTTCACACACTTAATTTAACAAGCTCCACTTGTGAGGCCTTTAAAGGGCAGATTGCAATGAAAAGAAAGACTTTGGTTTTTCTTTGACACTTTGATGTAGGGGTCTGCCATTTTGGGCTCATTTTGCATACTAGATTTGTCTGGTCCTGTCTTATGATCTGTTAAGTTATCTTGTCTCCTGGTTTTCAGACTTGGTTTCGGGGGATCTTACTTTTAGTGGGTTCTTTTGCTCATTTCTGGGCACTGTTTTCTGATCTCAATTGAATTCAGTAACATTTCATTGCTGTAACTCATACTAAACTAAACTTCAAAGTTGTTGTTGAGGCTCACTGTTTGCTTCTGTTGTGGTTTATGTTATATCAGTAATGAATAAGTCTCTGACTGAAGACACTCTTTGAATAGCAGCCTCCTGAAGAAGACACAGGGTTATCCAGAATTTTCTTGATTTTATGAAGAATCCTTCTTTTTACAGGTATCTCCAGCTAGTCCCCAGAAGTTCTCAGAACCGAATCAGCCTCCTTCATTAGGTTGTTGGGCCTTTTTAAGTGTACGGCTCTGATGCTGCCACAACAAATGATGGCAGAAGAGATTGCTCTCTCAACAACAGACTCATGGAAACTCAACATTGTAAGGAATAAAGTCTCATATCTCTGCTTTTTGTCCTGTTGTTTGTAGTAATTCTCAATAAGTTTATGAGCCCCTTCAGTTGCTCTGCATTTAGTTATTTAGATTGACATTTTTATTGTTACATTAAAGGTGTCACGCTCCAGTCCTCAAGGGCCGCTATATTCTGCAGTTTTTAAATGTGCCACAGGTACAAAAAAACGCTGAAATGAAATGGTTTAATTACCTCCTCCTTGTGTAGATCAGTTCTCCAGAGTCTTGCTAATGACCTATTATTCTATTCAGGTGTGGTGCAGCAGAGGCACATCAAAAAGCTGCAGGATACTGGCCCTTGAGGACTGGAGTTTGACACCTGTGTGTCATTCCGCATTGTGTTTTCCCTCAATTTGTTTGATTTTCAGGTTTGTCAAGCTCCGTATGCATCACCATTTTGCTTGTTGTTGATTTCCTTTCTTGACACCAGTAGTTTGTGAAAGAAAATACTTTATTACTTGCCAACCTGCCTCTTGTGTGTGCTTGGCATTCAGACACATCCTTTCATGTTCATGTTCAATCACTGCATGTCATCACATGCCATACAGTTCAGAATTAGTATCTTAATGAATTAGCTCATTAAGATGCCTCAATGAACTAATTGAGGTATCTTAAAACAAGGAAAGTTCCGAAACATACAAGGGATTGGCCCTGCTTTAAATAGCATTCCTTAAAAATCACGATCTACAAGTATTTACCTCTATTTGACATCAAAACAAAATTGTGTTTCTCTTGTCCAAATCAATCACGCATTGTCTTCTTTCAGGTAGGAGATCATTGACTTGATAGGTGGTTTTAATCTCCCCTACTTCAATTACAACTCTGGGGTTTACCTGAAATACTCACCACAGCATTAGGATATACTATAAATATCACAAAAGTGCTTTTGCCATCTTGATCTTGGCTCCTAGCAGTGCAAGTTCTTCCATATCGATTCAGAAACCCTGCTATGGATCTTATCCATAACACAGGTGTAAACAACACATCCTGTGGTGTAAAGACAAAGCAGCGGTGCACTGCTGCTTCCTGCTTCTCATTTACCCAGGATATTCTGTGTTTCTAACCTGGTAGCTGCTGTGTATTTATCTGATTCATGCTAATCCATCTGACAGAGCAGTGCATATCCAGCATGTCTACCTCTCATCCAAGGACAGGTGGGAAAGTCCCCTGGAGGCCTTTGCATGTTGGCTGGAAATAACATTATTATGTACACATTTTGCATCTACCCATATTTCTTGTGTATTGTTTGTTTCGATTTGCAATATTCTGGCATACCTATTGGCCTTGTTTGTGTAACCTTCGCCGAAGTACGGTAGTCATCTTTTGTATCACAGCGTTCACAGTGTGATACATCACATTAAATACATTACTGAAAACACTAAGCATGTTTCAAATTTTGATTCAGAGTACTTTGGCAAAGAGAGTAACACTCTTGACAGAAGCTTTCTTCTTTTGGGAATCAAACCATAATATTTGAATAATTTACAGATGTCATGTGCCAAGGTCGCCAGAATTGTGTATCATTAACTAATTTTAAACTTATGAAGGTGAAACATGTTTGCTGAGGGGCTTTTCAGATTGTATCTGTCCATTCATTTTAGTTTTGGGGAAACTGCAGGAAAAGGGACACGGCATTGTTGAAACCTGCCTACATAAAAAGCAATATTGGTTTAACTCTGTAAAATATTATAGGAAGAAAGATATTTTAACTTACTTGAACTAGCAACAGCAATGAGCATGTAAATGATATAAATGCTTGTTTTTAAAAAGTAACTTCTTATTAAAAAGGCAATTGTACTTCAAAAGGTTTGCTTGTTCTGGGAAGATGATGAAAACAAGAAAGTTCATCCTTATCAAACATCACTCCCTCAGCAAACAGAGGGGACTTTACAAAACTAAAAATTAAATGTTGGAAGCAGTGAGACAACATAATTTCAAATGAAAGACATTCATAACCGTTTACACCAGATCATCTTTGACATGTTTAATGTAGTTATATAATTGCATACTGAGGTCCCTCAGGGATGATTTTTCTGAACAGCCCATCTGCCAGGGGAATTGGGCCATCTGACAGCTGTTAATGACCAGAATTAGCATAAAAACATACAAAATAAAGATTTGCCTTGCGCGCTGATATTATGACCCTGATATTATTACAATAAGAATGTATGCTGTGTGGCTACATTGACAGTATTTACAATTTTCTCGAGCAATCTTCACTTGGAAATGTTAAGCAGGAGTATCAGCATCAAAAAGTATTTACTGCTAAGTGGGGTCATGCCACTTCTCTTGTAAAGATATAATGCAAAGTCAAAACATTTCCATAATAAAACAAACATAGTGATTGAGAAACAAGTAGCATAGAGATGAAAACAAAGCATTCAAAGGATTCTCTGTCTTAGAGTTGTGTGGCTCGAGTTTGTGCACTTAGTATGCAGCTTTGATGAGAGTTGCACTGCTTGCTAATAAACGGGTACTTTCTAAAGAATAAACTTTATCTACCCAACAAAGCTGACAATGGCATTCTGACACAAACGTTTATAGCACATCATTCTGAGAGACATGAGAAACCAAACTCCAACTGAAGGTGAGAGCCAATAATGATCAGAAAAACAGTTTTTCTTTCATTTTTTACACTGAAAACCTTCAGACAAAAATAACCGGAGTAAATACAGCAAGTAGTTTAATTTATCAAGGGAAGAAGATGGCTGATCTACGTGCGTGTTAACATTATTTTCTTTCAGTTTTACCACCCTTAAAAGATACTGCACTGATCTGGGGCCATCAGTGAAAAACCTTTAAGGTTTGATCTGGTTTAACGAATTAAGTATGGCCTGGGGCAAAAAGGATGCTCTATTCAACAAACCTTGTCTTTTTTTGTCGTTTTCAGTACTTCTGCCCCTCTTGATCTACCGTAGGCTGTGATGTAAAACCTCAGGCATCTGCACTGCATCTTATTTTTTGTATTTTTTGCTGCTTCATCTTCTTGCCCCAGGCCTTTCAGCCAGTATTCACACCAGCTGATTGCGGTTTCTTTTTTTCTTTTCGAACTTTCTTTTCATTCGGATAATTCTTTTGCATGTGCTAAAGACATGCAAAAGAAACCAAAGCTGTCCTTTTTCCACCCCTTAACACATCAAAATTGAAAACCTTATAAATATAAATTAATTGAAATGTTTTCATTTTAAATGCGTGTATTCCGCGTTGAAACACGCGCCATAAAAACACACACGCGCCTCCCCAGTCGGCCAAAGCGCTCCAGTCGTTCGTGACGTCAGAGCAGCCGTGCCTTTAAAGCTGCTGGAAACCACTGCACGTTAATCCTGCTGGAGTCTGCACTGTGAGGACGGATTACAATCATCTCTAATGCACTTGAAGATGAAGCATTAATACAGTAGTATCCCGATTCATTTTAACCTGGCATGGCATAGACTTTTCTCTTTTTTTAACTGTAAGGTGAGGTTCATCTGCAGAAGCTGATCCGATCTCTGCGCGCTGCACACAGAAGGAGCGATGCATTGGGGTTAACAGGTGCTCCCGCTTTTTGTTTCGTCTTGGGAAGGAGTTTTTATTTTGGAGGTATGTGCGTTTTGAACTTTACACGAGGCTCTCGGGTTGTGCGAGCAAAATCAGCCCAGGGAAAAACTTGAGAAAACTATTGCTTCAAAAACAAACAAACAAACAAAACAAAACAAAAAAAAACTTTCAACGTATGAAATGAGTCGCAGGGTCGCTTTGTCCAGTGCGACCAAACTCCTCCAGATCAAAGACAGAGTTAGATGAATGGACCGCAGGATGTTTTCTGGTCAGGGTGCCGTGAATCACAGCTTCAACCAGAGCGGTGGCCTGGAGCCCGGCGACGCGTCTGCGGGCGCGGCGAAGCTCTCCCCGGCTGGCTTCGTCGTGCTCTCCGTCGTCCTGGGCTTCATCATGACTTTCGGCTTCCTGAACAACTTCATAGTGCTGCTGCTGTTCTGCAAATTCAAGAAGCTGCGCACGCCGGTGAACATGCTGCTGCTCAACATCAGCGTCAGCGACATGCTGGTGTGTTTGTTTGGCACCACGCTCAGCTTCGCCTCCAGCATCCGGGGAAAGTGGCTGCTGGGGCGCGGCGGCTGCAGCTGGTACGGCTTCATCAACTCCTGCTTCGGTACGTGTCTTCTTCTGCTCTCACAACCTCCAACAGAACATGTCCGACTCAATTTTGTTTTTTTCAATTTAATGCATTGATTCGACTTTTTTTTTAGTGTAACTTTTATTTATGACCAATGTATTTGGCATAAATCCTACATGAGGGACAAATGTAACGTCTTGTTGCAAGATACAAATGTCACAGGAGGAAGATGGGGACAGAGTAATATCTTTGTTAAAGAAATTCCCATTTAGATTTGGAATAGCTACAGTTTTTACATGTGTCTGCAGCATTTCTTAAACTATAACTTTGTGGTGCATTAAAAAAAAAAGGATGACTGATCTGACTTCACAATGAAATCTGCCTGTCTATAAAGCCCTGAAGCAAACAGTTGCTGCCCATATTTAGCAAAGGAGATATGGCTTTGGATAGTAATTGCATGGATGATCATATTTCAGCTGGTAGCAGTGATCAGCCTTAAACTATAACTTTGTGGTCAGGAAAAATATGTTCATTTATTTTTGAAAGTCTTAATTTAGTGGAATCCAGTACTTACTTTCAGCAGTGAAAGTAAGTACATTTCAACAAATGGTGTGAAGGAAGCTCAAGGAATTAGGACAAAGTGGATCTGTGAGGTTAACCAGGGAAAAACTTTGCTGGGCAACATAAAGATTGGAGCCTGGGTCAATGGAAAAATGCCATGTGTTGATAAATCCAGGTTTCACCCTGCTACAGAAGAAGCGAGGCAGAGGAAGTGATACACCCATCATACCTTCTGTACAAGCCTGAAGGGGAATTGCTGCTTGTTGCAGCCGGGCAGATCACAGACATATTCGTAGAGACAGTGCCATGTTATTAGGCACTGCTCTCTTCCTGGTTACCTTAATAGTTGAAGGATCTTTGTTTTCCACTCATTAACTATCTGTGTCTTTCATGATCATTTCACACATCTGAAATAAACTTTTGCAATTAAGGTAAACGTGTTGCCTTTCAGCCATCTGACTGGCAGCAACAGGTGGGGAAGTGAGAGTGCAGAAGTGGTCAATAGATAATTGCTCCATTCTGACCGTGAGCTGTCTCTCCATTTATACTTATTTTAACGTAAAGATTATAAACTAATTGAAATGAACAGAGCTTTTCAATAAGCTAACTATTTCAGTAAAGTTTGAAATGGCAGCAAATCTCTTAAATTGTCCAACCTAATTAGATGCTGCGCTGGAGGTATTTTTTTCTTGTTGTATAATCGGAACAGAGAGGCTGATGGAGATTTGAGGCACTAATGTTGTTTCTACTTGGGTAACAATGCAATTATAAAAACAATTACTTTAAATGTGGCACATTTGCTTTCATTCAGGGCCTGAAAGCGCTTGCTCAAATAATAGTTTCCAACAGTTTTACTTCAGAGCAAGATAGTTTTATTTACCACATTGTTTGCGCTGCGATGCACAAACTACAACTGTGACAGTTTGAGAATGGTGAAAAATTGCTTATTTAGTTATCAAGTAAAATGTCTGCTCAAATCTGCACTCGCTGTAGAAAAGTAAAATCCAGTTTTCACAAACTATTTCACCATCTTCAAGATCCACTTTCCCTTAAACACAAACACTAAGGTTAGTTTTTTTTTCTTATGAAACGCTGACAGGTCTCAGGGAGGTGTGTGTTTTGATGCCGATGCTGGGATTGCCGAGCCTGTGGCTGAAGGCTTTTTGTGTATCTGTCCAGAAGGTGGTGTGACAGAGTAACAAATTGGATTCTCCAGTAACCGCTTCTGGAAATATTAGATAAGACTGCTGAGCTCATTTGCATTCTTGTTCACTGCATATTGCAGGGATACAAGCTGAACAGCTGATATCAATATGAAGTCCCTGGAGACTGGGCCATTAAGTGGGAGTGAACAAATAAACCCGACCCGAACAGCTTTAACATTAATTCACATTAAAAGCCCAAAAACTAATTTGTTTTTAACAATTACTAGAAGATCCTTGGGTTCAGAGCATCACTTACCTGAAGAGCTTCAAAATGGACTTTTCCTTTTGCTTGATTTGACCAGAACCGACAGGCAAACAGTTACAGGTCATCACAGTGAGCCAGTAATAATGTCCCTGGATGTTAAATGTAAAAGCAAAGTTCTTCATAAGAATATTACCTGCCATTTCTACAAATTTGACCTCTTTTACTTCTCATTCTGCTACTTTAAATGATAGGCAAGTGAGCTGCAAGTGAAAGACCAAATGTCACTCTAAAATATTGCAAATAGATTCCATTAGCTGCTAAGTACAAGAGGCCACACGGACAAAGCGTGATTTTCAAAGCTTTCATAATTTGCTGTCAGGCTTCAGATAATTTCTGGTTTTCCACTTTCAATAATGTCAAGAGTGTCAAAAACCGACTCAAATGGCTTGTTAGTTTTGCTCCTTTAGCTGATATACAGTGGCTTGCAAAAGTACCTTTTTGAACCTTTTTGCATTTTGACTCATTATGGCCACAAACCTCATTGTAAATTATTTGGAGTTTATGCATCTTTGCTGCGTCAAAGGAAAATGGCAAATTGGGTCTGGCATTTTCATGGGCAATAATATCAGATTAGGGTCACATTCACCTGCTGTGTGAACGCAGCTTATCCTAGCAGGTTTGCTGCTGTGCCGTTCGCTTTTCTTGTTGAAGTGATTGATTGAATGCAGCTCTGTGACTTGTTCAAGCTTGAAATGTTGTTTCGTTAGCTAACTCTGCTTTTATCCTTTCTAAAACTTCGACCCTGAATGATCTGCTCTGTTTCTTGGCCTTCATGATGCCATTTGTTCTCTTATCTTCTCTAATAAACTTCTGAGGCTTTCACAAAACTGCTGGATCTATTCTAAAATTTAATTATTTACAGGTGGACTCTGTTTGCTGGTTGGGTTATTTATCAAACGATTTATGTGCTCTGACTTTTTATTCTCAGACTCTTTCTCCTAAATAAAGTGACAATCTGAAGTTAAAGGGTTTTGTTAAATACGGGCAAATTTGAAAAAGTCCACTTCAATCGTTTTTTCTATAATTTTATGGACATTTTTAGTTTTCAGACATTGACAGCTGGCACAGGGAATTGTTTCTTTGTACAGTCTAATTTTTTGTCATTAAACTGGAATTTACATGTTTTTTTTTGGTTTTTCATGCTTGAGATGCAAAAACATTTTTCATTACTCTGTTTTTGTACACGTTTGCCATTTTTCCTAGTTCTAAATTATTTTATGTAATAATTTTGTATATGATTTAATTAGAATAAATTTCTTTTATTAGCAAATGTTCAAAAAACATTTAATAGCCCATCATTGTTAAGACAACTTTTTTTAGGAAGATCTAGAGCAAAAATATCTCTGTGGATGATAAAGGTTGCTCATCTCAGTTGTTTGCAGAAATCCAACAAAACGTTTGGTTTAACATGACAAATTCTTAAACAATTCTCTGCATACAAAAGACTTGAAAAGGTTTATTGAGACAAGTACATTTTCTCACATGATAATCAAAATGTCTCTAATTTCTCTGCTCGTTCAGAGCAGTTTTGAACTTAGTCTTATTTGTTTCTATATTCATGTTTGTTTGCTTTCTTATCATTTCACAGTGGGGATTTTGGTGAAGCATTATGATAATTTCACATCCGAAAGCCTTGAATATTTCATGCTGTGTTAAAAATGAGCAGGTGTTTGGACTTCATTTTCCCTGGGGCTTCTGTTCTGTGCTGAAGGCACATTATTTTTGCATGAACGAAGTTTGATCCAGTGCCATTCTGAATTCTCCTGTATCTGCTGCTGTGCCAATTAATTCCCTTGTTGGGACAGCAGTACACAATAATTTACAGTTTTTGTGGGTGCCAATCAAATATACTGTATTTTCCGGACAATAAGTTGCTCCGGAGTACAAGTCGCACCAGCCATAAGATGCATAATAAAGCAGGAAAAGACATATATAAATAAGTTGTATTTTTGGTGGAATTTTTTTTTATAAATTCCAACACCAAGAACAGACATGCCATCTTGAAATGCTATTTAAAATAAAAATAGAATAGAGGCAAGAATAGGCTGAATAATTGTATGGTATGCTAACTTTACATAACGCAATACAAACTCAGAAGTGGATGGTATGATAGCATAACATATTAAGAGTTATTCAGATAACTATAGCTTTACTAACATGTTTACCAAACCATTCGTGTCTCTCCAAATCACTAAATCTTCATCTTCTGTGTTGCTTGTAAACAACTCCGCTAACTCCGGAGGTAGCTTCTACCACACATTATCGACACAGGCCTACAGCGCCCTCTTGCGGATTAGTGTGAAAAGTCGCTCCGGAGTATAAGTCGCATCCCTGGCCAAAAAAACTTCGACTTATAGTCTGGAAAATACAGGAATAAATATTAACTTTTGCTTTTACTTCAGATAAGATTGCCAGGAGAGTAACCAGAGAACCATAATCAAAGATTAATTTGCATTAAGTTGCAATGTCACGAATGATCATGTGCTCCGAGACTCCAGCAGGCTTGATTCCAACAGGAATAAAAATCAAACAAGGCACACAAAGGATCTCATCTATTCTCCCGAGGAACAGAAAAGATACAGACATCTGACATCTTTTCCAACACCTGTGTCATATCTCATCTTCTGTGCAATCACCTTTTCAACGCGTTTACCTTTTGCTTTTCTATATGGAACCAAATGCCAGGAGCCGGCCTGAGCAGGATGACTCATGCTCATCTGCTCTCAGTGTTTATGTTTTGACTTTTACCTTGTACGTGTGAGATTCCTGTCTACCTGTTGCCAGCTTCCACAGCATGCCAGTCTGCTGATAGTGTTCGTTTCAAGTAAGCATGTTTTTTTTTTTTTAAATGACTCAGTCTTCTTTGTAACTTGGCCTTGCGTTTGCACGTCTCTCAGCATGGTCTGTCGCTATAGGGAATCTTAACATTGCCAAATGTTGAAAGAACAGATTTGCACCTGTAAATATACTGTTTTATTGTGATTTATGTTATGTATATACTATCT